CTCGTTCCCGCTGGCCGCCCCAGGCCGCACCGCAGCTGGCCTCTCCTGACTCAAGGTCAGTGGGGCTCGGGCTGGCCTGGTGTTGAGACAGTATTCTGGAAACCGCGCTTGTACCCTGCAGACGGCTGTTTCCTGGGCCAGGCGACCCCCTTCCCCCCCCCCCCCCCGCCCCCCGACTGTATCTGTACCCTTCCTGGGGACTTGGCCAGTCCGGAGCCTGCACTTCCCAAGTCCAAGGTGAGAGGGCAGAGTGCGCCTGAGTGTGGTCTTGGAAGCGGCCGAGGGCTCGGAACCAGGGTAAGGGGCAGCTATTTTTTAAGGCCGGGTGACCAGGGAGGGAGGAGCGTGGGGGAGGAGGAAGGCACCCAAGCTGGGGGAGGGGCCTTGGGGGGAATTTTGGGAAGAAACTATTGGGTGACTAGGGATCACTCGGCACAGAGGAGTTTGGGAATTGGAAGAGACTCGGGGAGCAGGAGAAATAAACAGGAAGCAATCCGGGGAGAAGGGTTAGGGGCCGGAGCGACCTGGAGAGGAGCTGGGAACACGCGCGATTCGGAAAGAAGCCACTGGAAGCGGGGAGCGCTCCGCGGGAGGGGCGCGCCGGGGGAGTGAGGAGGCCCGGGAAGGGGCACCACGGCGCGGGTGGGGGGGTCCCTTCCTGGGGGCGGCCCGCGCCCTCCGCCCGCCCGCGTGCCGGCCGGCTCCTCCCCCGGCCCCGCGCCCGCCCTTCCGGCGCAGGCCCCACGCGCCCCAGCGTCCCCGGCCTCACCGCCCCCATGGCCTCCTGCAGCAGCGCCCCGAGCCGGCTCAGCATGACGGCGGCCCGGCTCCCGGTTCCCGGGCGGCGGTGGCGGCGGCGGCGGCGGCGGAGGCGGCGAAGCTCCCGGGCGCAGGCGGCGACCCGGAGGCGCGGCGAGGGAGGCGGGGCCCCGGCCGCCCCGCCCCACCGCCCCCGCCCGGCCTAGCTTGGGGTAGGAGAAGAGGCCGGCAGCCGACGTGGCCGGGCCGGGCAGCAAGGAAGGGTGCCGGGGTCGGGGGCGCCGGCAGCCGGGGCAGCGGAGGGGCAGGGTCAAGTCCGCCGGGGCCTCTTGGTGAACCAGGAGGCAGCGAGCGAACTACCCTTAGAGAAGGGCGAGTGGAACCAGACAGGTTTTTCCCATGAGGGATGAGAAGGTTTGTGGGTTCTGGAAGTCTCTAGACTTTCCTCGTGGGACCCCATAATGCCTTAGCCTCCCATCATGTGACGTCGAGGATCAGCAGAAATACATTTTGAACAGCTGACTGCCATGTGCTCAGGAAGAATTTCTTTCCATTCCTGGGGGAATGGGGGCGTGGAGCGGGGAGATGGGGAATGGGCTTTGTACCGGCAGAGCTGGCTGCTAGAAAGCCCCCTCCCTAAGGTCCCAGCTTTTGACATTCCGGGAAACCCTGCTCTGGTTGAGAGTTCTGCCTGTGTAATTCTTGGCCATAAGTTTCCCAGTGTGTCCCCCCCCAGCAAACACACACACACACACACACACACACACACACACACAGGAGACACACCTGTTTCTTTCCTTGATACGTCTAGAAGGGCAAAACGGGGCCGGCGTGACTTCTTTCCCCCACCCCTGTCCAGCACAGTAGCCACTGGCCACTCGTGGCTATGGAGCTGAAACGGGCTAGTCCTAATTAACATGTGCTGAAGACATGTCAGACAAAGGAAAGAATGTAAAATAGTCACTAATGATGTTTTATGTTGATTACAAGTTGAAACGTAATCTATTAGATAAATCGAGTTAACCAAATATATTATAAAAATTATTTCACCGGTTGCTTGTTAATTTAAGTGGATACAGTGCTGGTCCAGAGGTCCTGCAGAGGAAGTCACACTGGCCTCGTTTTGCCCTTCTAGATGCACCAAGGAGAGAAACAGAAGGTGGGTCTCCGGTGTCGGGGACACACTGGGAAAGTTACACCCAAGAGTTAAACAGGCAGAACCCTCAGCCAGAGCAGGGTTCCCAGGAATGTCAAAAGCTGGGACCTTAGGGAGGGGGCTTTCTAGCAGCCAGCTCTGCCAGTTCAAAGCCCATTCCCCATCTCCCTGCTCCCATCTCCCACCTCTACACCCCAGGAATGGAAAGAGATTCTTCCTGAGGATAGGGCTGACATCTGTTCAAAATGTGTTCCTGCTGAGCCCTGACACCATCTGATGAGAGGGTGAGGCACCAGGGGTCCTACGAGGGAAGGTGGGTAGCCCCTGTCACAGATCTGAGGACCTGGAGCTGTGGGGTACTAGGGTTTCACTGCACTGGCTCTGCCTTTGGGGCCCCTTTCACCAGTAGGACTAAGGCCCAGGAGGCAACGCCTGCCCAGAGTTGGCCATGTGCTGTGGAGTGGAGCCTGCAGTCCAGACCGAGTCACGGGGAGGCCAGGGTTCGGCTGAGCTAGTATTTGGATCTCAGTTCACTGGCAGCTGCTTAGGGAAAATAGATGTTTCAAACAGCTCGTCTACAATTGGTCCCGGGTGAGGAGCCTACGGGAAATGAGAGGAGGCTTTTAGGCCAAAAAGTATAAGAACAAAGGGAAGAAACAAGCCTATTTTGTGTATCAAGAAGCAATCTAGGGGACTTCCCTTGCGGTCCAGTGGTTCGATCCCTGGTCGGGGAACTAAGATCCCGCATGCTGCATGGCGTGGCCAGAAAAATTTTTTTAATAAAAAAAAAGCAATCTGGAGTCAGTCCAACACTGTTCTTCTCTGGGTCTTCTTCCTCATAGGTAAAGGAAGCAGGCTGGATGGATTAAATCTACTTGTTTTCCTTCAAGATATTTCAAGGAACTGTAGAATATAGGGGAAGTGTATAAGAAATTTATAACCTTTTATTTGGTTTAACTTTTAAAATTTTATTTCAAAAGCTCTAATAAAAGTCAGTGGACATACTTGTATATATGATAGAGCCCACCGATGTATTTAAATTCTGCTGCCAGGTTAGCTCATTGGGAAGAAGATGTTTGAATAAACCCTTCCCTCCTGTCAGCGTAAATGAAGGTAGAAGGCTGTTGCAGAATAAACAGTTTGAAAGAGCAAGGCACTAAGCCCAGATTCAAAGAGATGGGGCTTAGCTGCTGCCGCTCAACAACGTGAGGAATGTGACCGTTCACATTTGCATGCATTTTTAAACCACCGCAACTTTGTAACTACTTATCTGTGTGAATCAGAATTCTCTCCTACTGTGCAACCAAATACAAGAATAAATTAGATCCTGTGCTTGGTGAAAGGGCGGCTGTCATATACAACGCTTGACTTAAAGTTGTTATATCCATCAAATAGCTTCCTTGTTCTCATTGATTGATTTCATTAATAATTAACATTTCAACTTACAGGGAATTCCCCGGCGGTCCAGTGGTTAGGAATCCGTGCCTCCACTGCAAGGGCCACAGGTTCTATCCCTGGTCAGGGAACTAAGATCCCGCATGCCGCGTGGCATGGCCAAAAAAATACATAAATAAATTTATAAATGTATTCTAATTGCTCATAGTAAGATCTAATTTTTAAAAAGATTTGACTACTAAAAAGGTTTGGAAACCAATGGACTAAATAATCACCAAGGTTTTATTTTAGGACAGACCTCCACTTTGCGCCGCTCTAAATTCTCAGGAACTTCAGATCCTTTAGGACTTCGAGTCCAGTCTGCTCGCACCACAGACATTTCCCAGTGCACTGTGATCAAACACTCCTCACACCCCTTGGTGCTCAAGAGCTTGGGAGCTCCGTGGACAGGGGGGTCCTGGCCTCGTCACCCGTTTCCCTCATGCCAGAACGGGATAAGCCTTCCAAACTTTTGCTGAACACCTAATCCTGGGTACGTGTGTGTGGGTACCATTCCTCTTTTTGCTGCCCCTGCAGAGGCAACTGTGTCTATACTGGGAATGACCCAGGTTAGCAGTGAAGAAACTGGGATGTGTGTTTCCAGTCTGCAATCATTAGTTGCTTGTAGCTTCAGGCTTGTGAAATGTCTCTCTTCCACAGTTTTCTCATTCTCGAGAAGGATGAAAACAACCTGTGCCGTTGACCTCGCAAGTTTGTTAAGACGATCAATGTTGTGCATGTAGCAGAACTCCTACAGTTTAATCATTCACACTTGAGCAGTTCTTATCCACTTTGCTTTTGTTTCAGCCAAAGGGGCTAGAAACTCCTCCAAGGGCAGGAGAGTTGATTCAGGTGCCAGGTCCAGTCTTGGGTTCACACGCAGGGCCCCCTCCAACTCACCGGGTCCTCTGGACTGCGTACCTCTTCAGGTGCCCAAACCCAGGTTCTGTTCCCCGCAGGTGAGCCGGCCCCATCCCCGCCGGCCCTCACACCCAAAGTCCTTCTGATCTTCCAGTCCCGTCTTCACCCCCTCCACCCACTGCAGCAGGCCCGTTCCATGTCTACTGCCCCTGGGCGGTCCTGCCAAGTCATCCAGGACCAAGCTACTCCTGCTCCCTTGGCCTCCACTTGACCCTTGCTCCTGCTGGATTTCCCCCATCATTTCTCCACCCCTTAGTTTTCCCCGCCTGACCCTCGACAATCAGCTCACTGCCCACTCCTACACAGTTGACCTTTACTGGGTGTTTGGCCTCCCTATTGAACTGTGAGTATCATAGACCTGGAGGGGTACAACCACGTCAGCTGCTGATGAGCTTGACCGCCAAGGGGGTGCATTTAGGGGCCCAGTGAAGGGCAGAGCCTTTTCTCCCAGCTGGCTCTATATTCATGCTCCAGAGTGTGAGTTTCTGTCCCCTCATCCATGTCACCATTGCACAGCCCCTGAAGGAGAGGAGGCAGACAGGACCTGCTAGACTGCCCCCCGCTTCTCTGGCCCAGGGATGGGGGAGGGTAGGAGGTATGCCATCGCTCTCTCTCCTCCAGCTCCGTGTACCCCGCCATTTGAACCCTCGCTCCGTGGCTTTTCTCAGCCTGGCATCACCTGTCCCTCTCGCTCAGATCTGGTGGCTCATAAAGAACAAGTAGATTTGGGGCCCCGATGCAACCTTTTAATTCCAAGCAGAGTCCCCCTCCCCCAGCATCATCACACACACACGGCGGAAAGGGATGTCGGGGTCTGGGCAGGAACAAAACCCAGACCCCGGCCAAAATATATATATATAATTATATACACGTGTATTTGGAGAGAAGAAAAGCTGGGAGCGTGATTAAGGTAGGGCAGAGAGTTAGGTGAGGAAAGCAGCTGGGGGGTGCCCCAATAAATTACATTCTTTAGAGAGCATGGTGGGGGATGCAGGGGTGTGGGTGGGACCTGGTAGCCAGGACTCTCAGCCTGGCTCCTCATCCCGTCCAGGGGAGCCCAAAGGCCTGGGCTCTGCCCGGGCCCTGGATGCTAGAAGGTAGCATTCTAGCCGACTCAGCCTGAAGGCTGATGTTGGGCTGGGGGTCTGTATAGGCGACATCTCCACTCTAAGCCGAGGCTTCTAGGGAAGCCTCAGGGCTGGAGCAAGAGGCTTTGAAGCTTGGGGGTCACAAGGAGAGGACAGGGTGAGCTAGAGGGCTGGGTGGCCTCCCTGCTGGAGGCTGAGCGGCGGGAGGCCCAGGTGCAGGGGAACCCGTCCCAGGTGAGCTGCGGAGGAGTGCTTGGGTGCACAGGGTCCTGGGCGCTCTCTGCCTGCGTGGCTGCTTCCCACCCTCACGTGCCTCCTACCAGGCCCGAGGGTTCTTCCCACCCATTGGTCGGGACAGCAGACAGGCCTGACCATTAAGTGTCATGTTCGTATCTCGTCACTCTCTTCTGGGGACCTTCACACGGGGGTGGGGGCAGGGAGAGGGTGCAGACACTATCTCTGCGTGTGCTGGAGTGCACGCTGGGTTTGCCCTGTGCAGCGAGGACCAGGGATGAGAGAAGGGGCCCCCACCCCTAGCTCATCATGGGGAAGGAGGTCCACGTCCCCAAGCCCCAGCACTGCAGAGGCCTCGCTCTCCCTCGACCTCAGCAACGGAGCCAACCCCACCTCTGCCCCACCACCCTGCTCCCCGCAGAGATGATGCTTTGGGGTCTAGTGACCCCAGCTCCAGAGCCCTGAAGCAGCAAGGGTGAGGGTCAGTCACAGAGCAGGTGGGGGCCATCAGAAGAGAGAGGCCTTTTTCTTGAGTTCGTTTCGCTTCCACAGAGCCAGCTTGCCAAACTCTTCGGGAGACATAGAAAAGACCCTTGAGAAGTCCTCTGCTGACAGGTGCCTCTGCAGGGGGACACACAGCGGCAGTGTAGGGACAGGAGGCACAGGGTGGGGCTGGGCCACCTTCCCCCACACCGGGCAGGGGACGCTGCCCCGTCAGTAGCCCCTCACCCGCCCACCACATTCTCTCTGCGTACCTCAAGCCTCATCCTATCCACACCTGGAGGCAACTTGGTTCGCCCCCTGTTGGTCACCACCAGCATTTCGTAAGGATAGATCTGGCGGGGAGGGGAGGCGTGCAGTAAGTATCAGGCTCTTCGAGGTCCCTGTCAGCGTAACCCCCTCCATTCCCCAGGCCCCCTTATCAGCCTGCAGGGGCCATGGGGGCTCATGCCATCTTGCCATCCAACTCCCCCAACTTCCGTGCTGCCCCTCCCATCATCAGCCAGGAGGACCCCTCAGTGCATTCACTTCCCTGGCTTCTCCCCAAGCTGGCCAGCCCCCGATAGAGACGGTTCTGTCCCCTGCCCACCATCCCCTGCCTCTGCCCCTGCCCCTCACCTTCTGCTCCAGCACACAGGGAAGGGAGATCCCCCGGTCCATCCTCCCCCTCTGGCCCTCTCCGTTCTGGGGAGACCAAAGCCGCAGTGAGCCAGAGTGGGGCAGGGAGGCCTCCCCAGCCTTACCCTAGGCTTCTTATGTCCTCACCAGGTGGCTCCGTAGCCCCGCACCCCTCCCCCAACGCTGACAGTCCCCCTTCCGTCCGTGGCTTCCGCGCTCCACGTGTCTCCCTCCAGAAGGCACTCACCTGCAGGCCTGTGGGAGAGAAGAGCCATTGTTCAGAGGCAGCTCTGAGGTCAGCAGGCTTCCAAACCCGCCAGCTCAGCCTCCCCGACCTCCAGCCAGAGCCCTGCCCACATCGCAGACACGGGCTGCCCCAGGGGCCTCTTGAGCCCCTTTCCCAGCATCAGGTCGGCCCTGCCTCTCACCTGGGCTTTCGGTCTCGCTCCCGGATGGGCTGAAGTCTGTGGACTGAAGCTGGAAAGGACACGAAGGAATCAGAGGAAGCTGGAGCGTTCCACATCGTCTCCCTTCACTGTAAGGGTCTGGCCGCCCCCCCGGGTGCCCACGTAGCTCAGTCCCTCACGGGCCCCACACGCACACTCTTCCCACGAGGCCTGTGACCTCCGTCCTGGGACCTTACCCGGCTCAGGGTGGTCCTGCCGTAGGCGGGGAGGGAAGAAGACTTCGATGTTCCCACGTGCAAGGCTGGAAGAGAGTAGGAGGCCCTGTCTCAGACCCTTTGGCCTGCCAGTCATTCCAGAGGGTCATTCCCTGGCCTTCCCTGCCAGGAGCAGGGCAGTGGAGGGGGGACTTGGGGGAAGCCGGTGGGCCTCTGTTGGCTTCCAGCTCCTGCCCGTAACCTTCAGCAGGTGACATTGTGCTGGCAGCTCTGAACTATCCCTAATGCCTCCCCTCTCTCTAACAGACGTGCACAAAAGAGACATTTGGGCCAAACGTCCGAGGGTTCAAATTGATAGTCAGCCAGTGATAGTCAGATGAGGAGGCTTACCATCGTAAAATGAACCTCTGGAATATGAAAATAAATCTAAAATTTAGTCGAAACAATCGAATTATTACAATTTTATGTTTAGCAATGTTGGTAATCAAATTTCAAATGCTTGATGTTATAAAACAGAAGCTGCAGTTTTCCCAGCACCTTCAGCTGCTAGATGGTACTGCAGTCGCTGGACTTGACATTCGCATGACCGGATGTCACTTTCAACTCGACGTCCAATGATATCACTAAGCTTTCAAGCACTGCAGATTATAATTCAAGAAAATTGGTTTTCGGTAACAGGTTTTCCTAGAAGGATTCTTAGTTTGCACTAATCTCAAAATTCCTGCATCTCCAATGACTAGAAATTGCTAGCATGGTATAGCAATTGTTTTGACCAGCATTTTTGTGTGTGAAGGTTTAGCCTGGACAGACTCCAAAGTATAAGGAAGAATTGTTTTCTTCAAACGTTTTAATAAAATATATTATTTGGAAGTTTGGTGAGAACAAAATGTGTTTTGGGGACCCTCGTGGGTTTTTTTCCCTTAATGCTTCTTATTTTTGTGTAGAGAATTGTCTACTTTCACGGCCCTCATTGTTGAAGCGCTTCTCTTTTGTGATAAGTACACACTTCTCCCTCAACTGACTGATAAGTTTTTTTGAAAAATTTTTGGCCACGCTGCATGGCATCCCCAACCAGGAATTGAACCCGTGCCCCCTGCATTGGAAGCACGGAGTCTTAACTACTGGACCGCGAGGGAAGTCCCTGAAGTGTATAAGATTTTCACTCTAATGACTTCTAGACTGCTTATTTACGTTTGAAAGTGACTGTTAATTTCAGTGTTACCCTTAAGTCAGAATGACACGCCTGTCCATAATTCTGAAATTGCTCAGGTTGATCAGCTATGAGAGTAACCTACGCAATCATATGACCGTTGATCCCATACGAGTTCAAGGATGCCAACAGTGACACGGAGGCAGACATTTCGCTACTCAACTTTGCAAGGCCAAATGCACATTAAAGAGCTAATTTTGCCTAACTAGCAAATCCTGGTGGAGCATGAAGACTGAATCCAACCTTCGGGGCATCTCTCTCTCTCTGCCTCCTTCTTCGGGCCTTAACTGTTTATTCCACATTCTCTAAAAAGACCTATTAGAAGCTCTTCCCACCTACAATGAAATATCATCCTGGTGAAATATCATTTCGATGACCCTATGGATGTCCCAGCCACATATGAGCCTTAACGGTTCCTTCAGTCCCCCAGGCCAGTGGCTTTCACCTCCACTCTACAGCATGCAACCCCTTCCGGTGGCCAGCCCCTGGATCTTGTCGTCCACAACCGCTTCGCTTTGACACTGAAGCCTGGGTATCACACTTTACGGGCACAGCGCCCTTTTTTTTTTTTTTTTTTTTTTTTTACGGTAAGCGGGCCTCTCACTGTTGTGGCCTTTCCCATTGCGGAGCACAGGCTCCGGACGCGCAGGCTCAGCGGCCGTGGCTCACGGGCCCAGCCGCTCCGCGGCATGTGGGATCTTCCCGGACCGGGGCATGAACCCGCGTCCCCTGCATCGGCAGGCGGACTCTCAACCACTGCGCCACCAGGGAAGCCAACACAGCGCCCTTTTTTGTTCGCAGCTTTCCCTCAGCCACATTCCTGGCACATCTGCCGGTCAATATCATGGGGAACCTCCAGTGTCTTGATCCCCCACTTCCCCCTGACCTTTGACCCATAGGTGGGTACATAACCACTTTCACCCACACTCAGCAGCACCCAGACTCTAACCCTGCATCAGCCCAGGGCTCCCCTTTTGCCCACAGGCTATGGAGATGAAGCCCACAACGTGTACCTTAGCATCACTAGAGCCCCTACAGCCTCTCATCAGTTCCCTTTCCCAGCAGAAGCTGTTCCGAACCTTCACCGTTCTCACCAAGCCTCACCCTCCGTGTGCTCAGCAGACGACGTCAACTTCTCTCTCTTTTTTTTTTTGGCCTAGCCACGCAGCATGCAGGATCTTAGTTCTCCCCGACCGGGGATCGAACCCGTGCCCTCTGCATTGGAAGCGCAGAGTCTTAACTACTGGACCGTCAGGGAAGTCCCTAAAGTGTATAAGATGTTCACTCCTAATGATTTCTAGATTGCCTTTTTATGTTTGAAAGTGACCGTTAATTTCAATGTTACCCTTACGTCTGAAGGACATGCCTGTCCAAACTTCTGAAATTGTTCAGGTTGGAGCTTGGATTCTTAACCACTGGACCACCAGGGAAGTCCCGAACCTCAGCTTCTGATGTGGCCTGCTCCCAAAGCAAGTCCCCGACCCTTTCAAGGCCAGCCTCCTGCATCCTGAGGCTGGGTCTCCCTTCTGACCTCCTCCCAGCCAACCTTCCAAGGGGACTGTAGTGTGAGTGCTCTCCAAGGAACAGCCCTCGGCACCCTGCCCTTCCCTCCCCTTTTTCTACACAACTGGATTTTCTCTCATGGTCCCACTACCATTTATAAGCTGAAGATTCTGCTCGAACCCTGACTTGCGCCTCAAGCTTGCAACTCAGTCAAACTCAGCTCCCACCTGCATGCACTTAAAACCCAACACATCCCAAAACAGTTTCTTCAGCTTTCCCCCGAAACCTGCCTCTTTCATGATCTCAGCCCCAGGTCTGGCATCACCCAGCACCCAAGACAAAAACCCCAACTCGTCTCTCCTTCACCACCCATATTCAATCAGCCACTAAGTCCAGTTGATTTCATCTCCTCTACAGATCTTCCTCGACCTACGATGGGGTCACGCCCTGATAAACCCATCGTTAAGTCAAAAATGCATTTAGGGCTTCCCTGGTGGCGCAGTGGCTGAGAGTCCGCCTGCCGATGCAGGGGACACGGGTTCGTGCCCCGGTCCGGGAAGATCCCACATGCCGCGGAGCAGCTGGGCCCGTGAGCCATGGCCGCTGAGCCTGCGCGTCCGGAGCCTGTGCTCCGCAACGGGAAAGGCCACAACAGTGAGAGGCCCGCGTACCGCAAAAAAAAAAAAAAAAAATGCATTTAATACACCAAACCTACTGAACATCAGAGCTCAGCCCAGCCTACCTTAAACGTGCTCGGGACACTTCCATGAGCCTACAGTTGGGCAAAGCCTATTTTACAATGAAGTGGTGAACCTCTCATGTAAATTACTGCATACTGTACTGAAAGTGGATAACAGAATGGTGGTCTGGGTACAGAATGGTTGTAAGTGTATGGGCTGTTTCCCGTCGTGATGATGTGGCTGGCGGGGAGCTGAGGCTCGCTGCCGCTGCCCAGCATCTCAGGAGAGCATCGTGGCACTTCCCTGGCTGTCCCGTGGTTAAGACTCTGCGCTTTGACTGCAGGGGGCGCGTGTTCAATCCCTGGTCAGGGAACTAAGATCCTGCATGCCGCACGGTGCGGCCAAAAAAAAAAGAAGAAAAAAAAGAAAAAAAAAAAGCCAAGAGAGCATCATACCGCACATCACTAGCCTGGGAAAAGGTCAAAATTCAAAACTGGACATACAGTTTCTACTGAATGCTTATTGCTTTCGCACCATCGTAAAGATGAAAAATTGTAATTCCGGGGCTATTTCTATACAGACTGTGCCTGTATAGTTCTCAAACCCATTCCGTCTTCTCTGGACTTATGTATATTTTTAGCCCTTACCCAGATGATTGGAAAGTGTGGTAGACTGCCTCCGAAGATGGCTCTCAACATTACCTCCCAGCCTGTGTGCCCTTGGGTGGTTCCTCTCAGCAGGAAGCAGAATCTCTTTCCTCTCCCTTGTGTCTGGGCGGCCTGGGAGCTGCTCTGACTGTCAGAAGGCAGTAGAAGGATGCCCTGTGGCTTCCGAGGCCAGGCTCTTAGAGGCCTTGTAGCTTCCAGTTTGGGCTTCTCAGATCTGCCCCCCTCCTCTCCAGCCATCGTGCTCGAAGGAAGCCCAGGTTAGCCTCAGTGATGTGCAGCATGGCACCAAAGCCCCAGCCACCGCAGAGCACGCTCTGTGCGCTGTCATTCCAGGCTCCTGGAGGTCGTCTCTGCTGGCTGGATGTTTGCTGCTCCTGGCCTTTGCTCCCACATTGTCCCTGGGGTCTGTGCTGCCCTTCTCCCCCACTCACTTTGTCTTGTCCTTCAAGACTCCAACTCTGGGACCCAGGCCCTATCAGCGTCCTCTCAAAGCACTTAAAGTGTACCTCTCACCTGCTATGCTGCACTGACACCCCAGTTTCCACGTCACTTTCCCCGTGACCAGAAGCTACTGGAAGGCAGCACTATAGTGTTTTACTCTTTATATCCTCAGGGCCAAGAACATGGTAGACACCCAATAAATGTTTGTCGAATTAAACAAAATGTGCTAATTCTGCTTTAGCTGATGCCATCCTTTGTCATCTCATCTTGTTCCATGACTGGTACTCTTGCCCTAAGGAGAGCGCCAGAGCCTTGAGCCAGCAACCGAAACTTCTATGTCTCTTATACCCACAGTAGCACAGCGCTGGGCGTGTGACAGACAAACTCAGCAGACTACTTGATTCTGGCCTCAGGGTCTGGCCAGGTGATTCTGAGCCCCCTTGGTGACACTCACAGGTATGGAAGGGTGTCCGGTCAGGCAGAGAGCGGGTTTTCCGTCGGATAGGCAGTGACTTTTCCATCTCTTCCTTCAAGATCATCTTTCCCAAGTTAGAAGTAACCTGGCAAGGAGAAAGGAAGATGGATCCAAGGCGTCGATACCTGTTTCTCATCCCCAAAAGGTTCAGAGTTGGGTCCATCCCAGGCAGAAGTGGGGACAGAGTTCCTGAGGGGCTGTGTGGTGCCTGGAGCCCATGGAGCCTGTCCTGGTCAGAAGCTCGGCCACATTGGGTCTGGCCACCCTCGAGAGCAAGGAGTCAGAGCCGCTCAGTGTAACTCTGCCCCAGGGGCTTCTGCAAACCAGGTCACAAGCCCCAGAGCACAGGCCCATGCCACCATCAGTGGCCTTTCCGTGACTCTCTACACCCTCTCTCCTCCCCTGGAGGCCAGCAGCCTACTCTCTCCTTTCTCCTCGTCCCATGAACTACTCCGCCTGCTGAAGCTTGGCCCTGGCGGGACCACCCTTTTCTGTGCTTTTGGCCCTGACAGTAAGCGGTGTCCCCCTAAAGTAACATGCAATCCTAGTGTCCCTTCAAAAGCGGCAGCCTGACATCCTGGCAAAGAAAGGGAATTCCTCACATGTTCTCGCCAGGACGCTCTTCAGACATGTACCCATTTAGATCAGAATGGAACTTCTATCCCCAGGGTGGCCCAGGGATGCAGGTGGGGCAGCGAGATGCTACCTTACTGAGTTCCTCTCTCTGACGCTCCCTGAGAGCCTTCATCTCCTCCCCGGAGTCATCGTCATCGTCGTCCTCCTCCTCCTCTGCCCCCCTCCTCGACGCCTTCCGCTTCCTCCACTCTGTCTCTGGGAAATACGAACCAAAGCGGGCACATCAGTCAATCAACCGCGCACTCAACGAGCGTCTGTCAGGGGCTGCTTTGTGCATGTCCCGGGGCTGCAACCTTGAAGGGAACACCGCAAATTATTATTATAAAATAAAAGCCACGTTTTCTAGCCTTGCGGTGAAGCTGGGTGGGCAACACACACCCACACGACTGAAAGCGATTGGGGGCCAAAACCTCATCTCATTCCTCTTTCTCTTTCCAGAGCTCCCATCACAGAGCCTGGGACACAGTAGAAATTCGACAAATGTCTGTTGAGCGGCCAAAGAAATGAACGGAAAGCGGTTAAATGACTGACAAGCAGGGCCGCTTACGCCAAGAGCAATGGGGTTGCAGGGGACGGGGGAAGCAGGAGCCTGGAGAGTTCATGCAGGTGGGGGGGTGGGGGGTTCCTGGGGCTTCGGCAGGGCCTCTCTCGCCTACCCACAACGGCCAGCGACGGGGGGCACGGCCAGTAGTCTGTTTCGATCTTGGCTGGCTGGTTGGGGTCGGGAGGCTGCGCTGCAGGGAACTTGGACGACTCGATGATGAGGTCTTCAATGAGGTGCTTGCTCTGAGGGCTGCCTCCTGTGGACTCTGCGGGGGGAGGTCAAGGTCAGCCCGGGCACACCCTCCCCCCCGGAGGCCACCTCCCACCTTAGTCCCCCACTCCCTCCTCTCTCCCTCTTCACACCTGTGAGCTCCTGGGTGTAAAAGCAATGCACAAGGAAGAGCACAGGGCAGTTTACATGCTGTTATGAACATCTGTTTTCCCATCACCCCCCCCCCACCCTCAGGACAGCCTCCCGGCACGTGGCGAAAAGGGGGCTCTGGTCGGTCGGGGGAACCCTCACCTCTCTGCTTGTAGATGGGTGGCTTCTTGTAGATGTTGGAATCTGGGCGGGTGGTCTCTGTGGAGAGGGAGCAAGAATGGATGAGAAGGAGGCTATGAGGATGGCGGGGAGGCTGGGTCAGAGGAGGGAATGGAGACATGGATTGGGAGAAGGCAGGAAACTCAGGGGCTCCTGCCGAGAGTCAAGACAGAACCAGAGATCCTGAAATTACCCCTCAGGGGTTGGGATTTTTGCACTTCTCTGTTTGGGTGGGAGGGAGGATGCAGCAGGACCCACCATCTCTGGGAGCTCTGCCTGGGGTCCGGCATCTGGGGGTCTGGCCAGTTCTGTGGTGTGCATGTATTCCAGAGAATGGGGGACTAAGAGTAAGGGACTTGGGTTCCTGAAGGAAGAAAAGAGGACCTAGGGCAAGGATGCAGCCATGCTGACACCAAAACCTACCAGGATGGTGGAAATGGGGCAGGCTGGTCCGGGGCGTGCCAGTGGTTCTTGGGGCTGAAGCCTGAGAGAGGGTTCCAGGGGACCGGCTCTCCGCCCACACCTGCAGAGCAGAAGTACGGTTCACTGCAGCTCCCAGGTCCCCCACCCCGCCCCCTCCACCATCTCCATCCTCCCACCCTAGCACACACGCCCCCAACCCCGGGGCAGAGGAAGGCTATCCAAGGACTCGACCTGCTGATGCTGCCTGACCCAGGAGAAAGGATTAAAAGAGATCCCGGGTCAGACGTAGATGGACCCAGAGCTGGCCAGTGACAGGACAAGGTCCACTGATTCCATCACCCCCTAGGCTCTGCCAAGCCCAGTCCGGACGTGTGTGGGGAAGGGGGTTGAGCCCGGTCAGAGCAGCGCTGGGCAAGTGTCAGGTGCGGGGCAGACTCACCTCTGGGGATGGTGGGGGGGATGTGGATTTGGGTGACAGCGAGCGCTGTGAATGGAGAGGAGGCTGGTCAGAGCCACAAGGGTGGGATTAAACCCTTGTCCCTAGGACCCCAGATGGGTCACTTCACCCCCCCACACACTCAACTCTGCAATTGCCCAGCCAATTTCTGGACCACCTCTCCTCTCTTTGTCCTTGCCAGCTCCCAGGGCTGGCCCTCCGTCCTCTCTCTCCCTAGACAGGGTCCTACGTCTTTCCCTAGGACCCACGAAGAAGCAGAAGTCGAGGATCTTGGAGCAGTGTGCATGCGCTCTGAGGGCCAGCTGGAGGGGCTATGGCTCTGACCTCAGAGCCAATGAGCAACAGGGGGAAGGGACAAGACCCACAGCATCCAGGATGGAGTCCGGGCCCCTTGTCAGTCATTTAAGTCTCCCCACAACCTGGCCCCGTCTCTCTGCTCAGCCATGACACTGCCCCTTTCTCCAACACAGTGTACAAAGTACCTGTCCTCCGTTATCTCATGCATTTGACTCCCTGGTGAGGTGGACGGGTAGAAGTATCACCTCTATTTTATAGGAAGGGAAACTGAGACCACACCGTCACACAGGTCACACTCAGCTAGGACTTCCGGCCTCCGAGCTCAGTGTTCCTGAGCGCTTTCCACAAATTTGCTCACTTTCTGCCCAGTCCCACCCCATTCCTGCATGACCCCGCTCTGTGCTGCTACCATTCAAACATGGCCTCCCCTGCTCTCCACCTGGAGCTAGCCTCCAGCCGCCAGCCCATCTCTGCACAAATACCCAGGCCACCAACTGACTGGTGATTCCTGTGCACAGGTCCCCTTCTTGTTTTGAAGTCTGGCCTCCAGGAAAGAAAGCATGAGAGGGATTCTGCCTCCCACCCAGTGTGGCTGGGTGAGCCCTTCCCCCAAGTCCTGTCCAAGAGGAACCTCCCACCCTTTACCTCCCGGCTTCTGGGCAGCTCCACGTGTTCCAGCAGAGAATAGGTAAAGTGGGGCTCGTAGATCATGAGGTCAGGCCTCTCGATGTCCAGGATGGCCTTGTCCTTGGGGATGGCAGCCAAGTCCTTGTAGCCCATCACTTGATTGTCCATCTTGGCCTGAAGGGAAATGGTACACGTGGAACAGAGGTGTCAAAAGCCTCCCTTAGAATACTGGCCCTACAAGCCAGACCTGCAATTTATTAGGAAGAAGATGGGCGGCCGTTTTAGATGTCAGCTCCTGTAAGTTAATATTTCTATTATTGTCATTTAAAAGGTTTAGAGTGTCACCTTAAAACAATGATAGTCCTTCACCTAGCCCTTTGGGTACAACGAGACAGTACCAGACCAGCAGGAGGGGGTGTGCAGAACCTTCTCTGGATCTGGGGTTCTCTCTGCCTGCCAGCCCTGGCAGGACCATCATCATTTGAGTGAAGCTGCCCGGCGGCCAGCGTGCGCCCCACCCCTCCCTCCTCCCAGCCTGAGGGTGCTGGTGGCCAAGAGGTACTCACCACGATGCTGGAGGGAGAGCCCGGAACACTGGAGCCTCGGGAGGAGCTGACGCTCCCAGGGGAGGTAAGTGGTTGCTGGGGAGAGCGAGAAGGCGGGCGGGTGGGAATGTGTGTGGGTGCCAGGGCCGGGCCGGAGGGAGGGGGCTGGGGCAGGGGAGGGCTTCTCTAGGCCTCTGGGGCCCCGGGGTGCGGCGCCGCGGGCAACCACCAGGTGGCATCCTCGACTCCCGACCTGACCCTCCGCGGGGAGCCTGGCCCCCACCGCGTGCCCCCGGCACCCCACTGCCCCGGCGTGGGTGTAGCCCCGCGCACCTTCTGCAGCCGTTCCATGCAGCAGGGAGCTGGCCGGCCGGATCACTCGCAGAGCCCTGTGCGCGAGGGGAGACGACAGGGCGTCAGGCTCTATCCGGCTCCTGGGCGCTGCGCGCTCGGGGCCGCGAGAGCAGAAAGGGTGCTCCCCCGGGCTGTGGCGTCCTCATCCCTCGGTGACTCTCCAGGCTGCTGGCCGAGTGCAGGGCCTGGAAGGGGAGGGAGAACGTGCCAGCCGGGGCTGTCGAGCCCCGCGATCTCAGAGGGCGGGGACGAGGGCAGCCCCCTCTGGCCCCGCGTGTCTCCCGGGAGCGGGGCTCCGGCTTTCCGTTCGCTCAGCCGCGGGGACCGGAGATCGCATGTGGCCCGCGGCGAGACGGGAAGGTGGACTGGCTGCACTAGTTTTTGAGCCATTGTTCTCTGGCTGGAAAGGAAATGACGGCAGGGCTCAGCCGTTCCCGGGGCAGCCTACACATCCCTGCTTCCTCACACCTGCCCTGCCGGGGCTGCGGGTCATTTTCAGGCCCAGGTTCTCACTCGCCTCGGCCTCTGCCGTGGCCTTTCCCTGGCGCTGTGTTGGTGCCCTTGACCTCCTTCCCCTCAGTCTATGTCCACGGTGCCACACCTCTCTCATAGCCCAGAAAGGTTGAACACAGAGGGACTCAGTAATACTATGAGACGTTAATAGGGGGAGGGGAGGACAGAGCGAAGGCGTTTTGGCGGGAAGCGCTCAGGTCATTGGCTGGGGGCTGCCGCTCTCCCAGTGGAGAAGGGAGGGGGCGGCTGGAGGGAGCCACACCCCCATGTGCCTGTCCCTGTACAGCAGGCAATCCCACTTGCAGGCATCTGGTAAAACACCTTGGTGGCCAAGGCCACGTCCCAGCTCCCCACCATCTCGGAGTCCTCGAGCTGAGGCTGCCCTCTGAAGTGCTACTTTGCTGCAAGTCAGGGCCCCCTAGCTCAGCAGGAAGGCCTCCAGGCTGGCACTGCCTCTCCTGGTTCCTAAGAAGCTGAGTCCTGTCTGCAGCAGTAGAGTAGGAGTTCCCTGGGGCCACGGCCCAGGTCTCCTTCCTCAGTAACTCCCTTAGCAACCCTCCCATCCTCCCCACACACCCCTGGACCAGACACATAATAACCATTCAGTGGGACTTCCCTGGTGGCGCAGTGGTTAAGAATCCATCTGCCAATGCAGGGGACACGGGTTTGAGCCCTGGTCCGGGAAGATCCCACATGCCGCAGAGCAGCTAAGCCCGTGTGCCCCAACTACTGTAGCCTGCGCACCTAGAGCCCATGCTCCACAAGAAGAGAAGCCACAGCAATGAGAAGCCCGCGCACGGCAACGAAGAGTAGCCCCCGCTCGCCACAGCTAGAGAAAGCCCATGTGCAGCCGTGAAGATCTAACACAGCCAAAAATAAATAAATAAAATAAATAAATTTATATAAATAAATAAAAATAACCATTCAATGAACGCCTGGCTGAGTTTCTGACATGATGGTGGCAGTGGAACTGTCTTCAAACTGCTGGCAGTAAGCCATAGAGTGAAGAGAGCTGATGACTACAGAACGTACAGGAAAGAGGCAGCAATAATGTAGTGGTTAAGAGCAAGGACTCTGGACGGGAATGCCTGGGGAGAGGAGACTCTGCTACTCAGAAGCTGTGTGACCCTGGGCAAGTTACCCTCTTTGTGCCTCACGTTCTCATCCATAAAATGGAAGGTGGTAATAGTATCTGTGTCATAGGGTTGCTCTGACTATTAGGTAGGTTACAACATGTGAAGTGTTTAAAACATAGATTTTATGTAGAACGTTTATTATTTCTATCTCCCTGAGGACTGATAACCTTAGATGGCTTTCTGTAGCCACTCTGCCACAGAAGGTCATGAAAGACTTGAGGTCATTGGTGCTCCCACTTTTATCACCTGTTACTTTGTATCAGGCCGCTTTTCTGCTGTGTCTCCACCACCTACTTGCTGCACCAGCAGCCCTTATTCCCACTTCCCTGCTTTTGCACACGCTCTTGCACTATTCTCATCTCCCAGATGCCACCCATCCTTTAAGGGCCATGCTAAACCCTCCTCCTCTTGGAGGCCTCCCCTATTATTCTAGTCCGCATTGACAAACTCTTCTCTGAATTCCAGTGGGACTTAAAAAGAGAATCATATAACTTAGTCCTTGATTATGTTGCCTGACATGTTTTCTCGCTAACTAGAATGACTGCTAATTTCTACAACAATAATAATAGCTATCATGTTTTGAATGCTCATGCTGGGTACTTTGATAAGCACTTTACAAGGATTATTTTGTTTCATCCCCACAACAATCCTATAAGGTAGACCTATTTTACAGATGAGGAAAACCGAGGCTCGGAGAGGTTAAAAACTTGTCCAGAGTCGTGGAGGTGACAGTGACTATGTCTTCAGCATTGGCATGTTTCGTAGTGCCTCCGTAGTACTGTGTCAGGTTCACTGTGGGGATAGACGAGCATTTGCCACAGTTCTCAAGTCTTTTTGGAATTCTAGAGCCAAGGCTTCTCCAAGACGAGACTCTGGCCATCAGAGTCACACTGGTGACCAGGTGCCCATGGAAGGGCTCCATCCCAGAGCTTCATCCTTCTCCTGCTTTCGTAACACTCACTTTGTAATGCTTTTAACTACATGTGTGAGGACTGGAATAAACTCGAGCACATACTCAAAGAGCTGTTAGCTCCCTCTCACTCCTATTTCGTCTTTACTTTGTTAACAGACATTGTCAAACTAGCTATACACTGGCTTAGCCAAGAGGCAGACACTCATTCATCCACCCATATACATCCACCCGCCCGCCCAGTCACGTATTGTTTTATCCATTCATTCACTACTTTCTGAGCACCTGAGCGTTGTGGTGTTGTGGAGAAGAGAAAGATGAGTCAAAGGAGCTAAGCCGCCCCTCCAGAAATGAGGCCATATGTATAGATAACGCCCATGCAAAGCAGAAAATTATGTGTGCCTGATAAGATAGTATAAAGGGCTGTGAGAGGTCACAGGAGAGAGGAATCACTCCTGCTGGGGTGTCAAGAGGGGAAAATAAAAAGGTTTTCTTAGAGGAGGAAGTGTTTAAGGCAGGCCTTGAAAGATGCCCGGTTTGAGATCATGCAAAAACTAAAAGAGGGATCCTTGAAAGAGACAGCAGCATGAGGGAAAGTGGAGACACGGCGAAGCACTGGGTCTGTCTGGAGACAGCAAATACGGCTGAATCGTGGAGCTCATGAGGTTGAGACTGGTTTGGGGCAGGAGGTTGGGGGCCAGATTTGTAGATGCCTTGAACTTAGACTAGGGGATTCCGAATGTATTCTGTGGGCAACTAGGGCTATGGAATGCTTAGAAACATTTAAAACAAAGAAGTGACGGATCCAAGCAGTGCTTTGGGAAAATGAATCAGGCTGCAGGCTGGCAGATGGAACAGACAGGAAGAGGCGGTCCACAGAGACACCAGCCAGGAAGTTACGGCAGTAGTTCAGGCAGGGAATTGTGAGGCTCTAGACTTGGGCCTGGAGCCCAAGGTGGAAAGGGCCAAGTGGGAGGAATCCTAGAGTCAGAATGTGCAAAACAGAACTTGATCTGGAGACAGCGCCCCCGCCCCCACCCCTCACCGCTGGGGAGGAACAGGTAGCAATGATAGGAGAAGGGGAAGCAATGAGTTCACTTCTTGCCAGTCGAGGCTGAGGTGGGGGCAGTACCTGGCAACAGAAATTTGGGAGCCATTTGAGCTAGAGGTGGTAGTCTGCCCCATGAGGTTGCCGAGGGAGAAAGAAGGTCAAAACCCAGCATCCTGGGAAACGCTAGGGGACTAGAAGAAAAAGGGAGCTGGAGATGGCATGAAAGGGAGGGGGAAGACTACATGGCCAGGTCCCTGAGGGGCTGGGAGTGTATCTAGTGATTCTTTGTATTTTTAGTAAAGGACCTAATACACAGTAAGTGTGCCAAAAACATTGAGAGAGAGTTGTGGGGAGAGATAGGGGGGTTGAGAAAGAATGTCATGAAGCCAAGGAGTCCATCACCCAGAGAAGGCAAGACATGCAGAAAGGAGTGACAGCTCGCCAGTTTGGATGTCAAGCCCTGGTGGCTTCTGAGAGCATCTGGAATAGTGAGGCCTCCTTGTTAGGGATGGGGGTGGGGAGAGGTGGCCAGGGTGTACAGGCAGGGGGAGGGGCACTTCCAAGAAGTGTGACAGAAGGGCAGGAGGGGGTTAGGAGAGTTACTTTGCAGGAGGTGCGCTTGGCTGAAGGTTTTTTAGGAAAAGGGAGACCTGAACACGTTTGTAGGCAGTGGAGAGTGAAGAGTAGAAAAGAACTTGTGGCTGCAGGAGACGGGGGGCACTTGAGGGAGGAAGGTCCCAGCAGGGGAAGGGGAGAGGGATTGGGTCCAGGCCCAAGTGAAGGACTACCTTTGGAAAGAAAGCCCGAGCTTCCCTGAAAGGAGAGGAAACGGAAAGTTGGGTAACTGCAATCTAGGGGCCTTTGGAGCAGGCCGATTGGGAGGTTTCTATTTTCCCAGGAAAAGTGAGAGATAAGGTCATATACAGACCCTACAGGTGGGTTACAGAGACTGAAGAGAGTAGAAAGGACTGGAACGGTCGGGGGAGGGGCGGTGGTGTGGGGGGGGAGGGGGAGTGTGGCACGGGGGAGGGGTGGAGAATGGAGAGCTTCTACGTGTCCTGGAGCCTCAGGCTGAACCTGGAGGTGGTCCAGGCACCCTGCCCTCAAACACCAGTTGCAGGTGGGTACAGAGTGGGGTAATGACTGCCTCTCAGAGTGGTCACTGCCCAGGGAGGGAGAGGAGGGCTCCAAGATGAGCCAGGTCACAGGTTACAAGGTCTTGCACTGAGACCCCCACTCGCCTGTGCACGACCACTGTCCCACAGACGCAGCCACTCGGAAAGACGATTCAGAATAATGATGTCCCTGCTCTGTCCCCTGCCCCTTCTTCTCCACAGCTGTCCACAGCCCCATGCCCATCCCCTAGGCTGGGTCTCCTTGCCTTCTGCCCTGAGCCACATTCCATCAGGAACCTGCACACCAGCGCCTGGTGTGTTAGAAAGCACGCTGCGGAAATTGTTAATGTCTTACCCTTCCAGGGACATGGCATTTTAATTTGGGGCTAACCTTGAGGAGTGAAGGTCTTACTCGTTAAATATTAAGCCATCAGGGAAAATGTTTTGGGGTGGAGTAGGAGTGTGGGGTGGGGGGAGAGGGAGAGAGGGGGAGAGGGAGAGAGGGAGAGAGGGAGAGAGGGAGGGGAGGGGGAAAGGGGGGAGGGGAAAGAAAGGGAGAGACTCTTCTTGCCTTCTCCCAAATCACATCACGCCCCGCATAAGCTTACTCCACCCACTCGTAGCCCCTCCCCCAAAGCCAGTTTCCTCGCGCGTCCGCACCCGTGCACACCCCACGTTTCTGCATGTGCGCTCCCAGGCCCGGGCCGCCTCCCGTGGACAGACCGAGAGGGCAGACTGCAGCAGGAAGGGAGGGCGCAAAGGGAGGAAAGGGAAAGAGCTGCGGAGGAAGGCCAGCCCAGGTGGCGGAAGGGCCATCTCAGCTGCCCCGGCGGCGCCCAGTTCTTCCATCTCGGACCCACCCTACCCCAGCTGTGCAGCCGCGCCTTATCTGAGCCCCCAGCCGGGCCCCACCTCACACCGCCCGCCCCGTCTCCATGGCAACTGGAGCCGCTCGGCCCTGATGATAAGGCCCGCCCACCCATTCCCATGGGCGCCCGCTACAGGTAGGGGCTGAGCCGGCCTTGGCTCCCTCGACTTGTGGAAATGAAGGCTCAACCGGCAGAACCGCAGCCTGGTATCCTCTAGTCCAGCTTCCCGCCCTGTTCTAAACCAACCATCACTTGCTCTGGGCCAGGGACTTTCACGCATCCTCTCTAGCTTCACCAAAGCTCATGTCTCCCAATTAGGAGATGAAAATGTGGTTGAGAGATTGACCTGCCTCCCCCCCATGCCCCTCACGCCTCGGCCCATTGAAGCCAACCTGGAATTCCTACCCAGGTCTGTCTCAGGTCAAAGCCAATGAATGCTCTTTTCAGTGGGTCCCCAAGGATCTCACTTTAATCTGAACTTGGGGTTTGGGGTCCCGTGCGCTAACCTTATACCGTGGAGCCACCAGAATCCTGCTTCGTTGGACTGGCCTGTGGACAAGAGCAGAGAGGCTGGGGGCCCTCGGGCTCTGTGCCCTGGGGCAGGGACAAGCCGGGCTGGAGGCCGGCCTTGCAGATAGTAAACGAGTTGCGAAATGGCTGAGCTGGCCCAGTGGGCTGGGGTCAGGTGGGCAAGCATTCCGCCGCTCTCCTTTTTCACCAGTTTCATTCAGAGTGTGCCTGCCTGCCTTGTGCCTCCGGGCCCCATCTCGCTATTTCTGCTTTCCATTCCCTTTTTCTTTCCTTCTTCATCTTTCTTCCCTCGGCTCTGCTTCCCTTTCACCCTCTCTCCCTCCCAGCCCCACCCCCGCAGTTACTGTGGCAACAACTCGATGCCAGAAATAAAGGCAGGATCCAGCTAGGTCACCAGTTCCCAAAACAGCATACCAGGGTGGAGAGGGGAAAGGTGGGTGGGAGCAGACCAGCCCAACAGGGGAGGCCCCCTGGCATACCCTGAGGGTGGGGTCTGTGTCTGTGTGTGCGTGGGGAGGGGGCACCCACAATCGCCCCCAAAATCGCCCTGCTCCGGGCCGGGGGCTCATCAGAACATCTCTTAACCTCTGCCAAGCCTGCGCCTGCGCCTTTTCTAAGACTGATGAAGCTCCCACTCCCCTCCTCTCATTTTATCCTTCTCCCGCACCCCCATTTTTAAGCCCTGCTCTATCTGCTAGGACTAGAGTTGGGGTTCCTCGAATGCTAACCCTGAACAGCACCCCCTCTCGCACTCTGGGGAAGCATCAGGCAGGGGCAGGTGGGCCCAGAATCAGGGTCCCAGCCTGGGAACCCACCTGCTCAAGGCCCTGCTCCCCGTTTGCTTCTGATGACAGCAGGAGTGGGCCCGGGCGCCTCCTTCCTTCCTTCCTCCCCCCCACACAAATATGCATCTCGTCACACAGTTTCTCTTAGCACTCTCGCTTGGGTTTCTGTATCCTCTCTCTACACACCCCCGAAGAAGGCCCTCTTTCTGTGTCCCCCCTCCCAGCCCCTTAGGTTTGCTTGGTCCTCAGCTTGTTCCTGCTCTGGTCTCTATTTACAGCTGGTCCTGTTGGCGGGTTGTGGTGTCACTTGTACCAGTTGATTGATAGGGCTGGGGGAGATGCAAGGGAGACTGCCTCCCAAATTCAGCTTTCTGAATCCTGGGGGCGTCCCTCTTCTGGTCGTTACACACACGCATGAGCTCTGAATGAGGAATTCCTCAGACCTGCACCCCCAGGTGGACAGGCTGGCCCCGGCGTTGGACATGTGGCCATAGCGAGGCCAGCAGCGCGGAGGCCAGCCTCCCCCGTGGGCACGGGCACCTCACCCACACATGCGGCCCCCGCCGAAACACGGTTGCAGAACGCACGCCCCCGCTCTCCCAGTGAGGCACCCCCCACACTGACACGCGGTGCCTGTGACACCCACTCACACCACCCACCGATCCTCCCCTTGGCTCCGGTTCTCCACGCTCACAGCCACCCACCCCACGTGCTGACACCCCGTCCCTGGCACAGAGCGCCCACTTACCCACCCCGTGGGCGCTTTCTGGGCCCCACCCCTTCCCAAAGCAAGACTGCCTGCCTTCTCCTACACCCGTCCCTGCTCCCCTGCCTCTCGCAACTCGGCAACCCAGTGCCCTGGGAAAGAACCACCAGGTGTGCCTGCCCGGGAATGGGCGCCTGGCCTGCCAGGCCAAGGGAGGGGCAGAGCTAGCAAGGGGGTGCCTCGATCCTCGGAGGCCTGCGTGTCTGCTCGGCCCTCAGCCCCTGCAAGCACTTCAACAGCCGGCACCAGGAGAGCATCGCGGTCAGGCCTGTGGCCATGCCCTGCCACCCAGCCTCATTCTGCGTTTGGTCCTCACCCCAGCCTGGCCGGCTAAGGGCTAGCAGGAGGCTCCTCAGGCCCCTCCCCGCAAGGAGCCGTCCTCACACCAATGGCATTCAGGCCTCTGAGTGAACTGCTCCCCCCACAACAGGAGCATCTGTGGCACGGTGGCGGGAGCCGGCAACGCCCCCTTCCCTTCCACCACTCAGCAAAGACGGCCCAGCTCTCCAGCCCACTCGAGGCAGAGCCTCCACCCCCCCAAGCACTTGGGCTTCCGACCAGCACAGCTGGGGGAAGGGGTCCCCGGGTGGCAGCATGTGACACCCCAGCCCCTCTTCCCCGAATCGGAAGGAGGTTGGGTCAGATCAAACCCAGCTAGTGCCAGGGTCCGGCCCATTCTCCCACTGAACAACGGGCCATAGCTGACACCCCCACCCCCACCCCGGGATCCCTGCCACCACCCAGAGCCTCACTTCTAGGAAGGTGTTGTGGCCAAAGTGCCCACAGAGGGGAAGAGAGGTGGGAGACCCTGCCACCTACCTCTTCCCGGACAGGGTGGCCCAGATGCTCTGAGGCCCCAGGGTGGGGGCGGGGACAGGCGCAGATCCCGGGGCTGCGGCTTTTCCTGAAAGCCCAGGTAACAGGCGGCTCTTCCAGGAGCCCGGCGTGCTTTCCCAGAGCACAAATAACAAGAAAAAAGCTGGCTTGCGGTGGGTGAGTGGGTGGGCAGCCGGCGAAGGAGGGGACTTACCCTTCTAGGCCCCCACCCCCTCGCCGCCACCCTGCTTCTCCGCCAGCCTGGCGCGCAATCCCCGGGCCGGGTGTGTGCGCCGGTGGGCAGGCCAGGCGGGGCGGGCGGGCGGCCAGGTGGGCGGGCCGCTGGCTCCCACCCACCCCTGCACCCTCCCCACCTCCAGCTGATAGCGTGTGGCCACTGGCCTGCGGGTGTGTGTTTGTGTGTCTGCTCTTCCACCTCGCTTGCTGCAGCTCAATCCGTTTCAAACAAGAGGACCATTAACTGGGCATCATGACGAAGCAGAATCGGAAGCAGACTCTTGGCCAGCGGCTGGCCTTTTTCCCTTTCCCACACCCACCCCCAACCCTGCAACACACGCTCACAAACACAGCCCCTCCAGCCTCCTAAAACAGCCAGAGTTTGAGTCAGGGGGAAGGGGCTCTACTGATAACAGAGGGGTGACAACACCCACTTTCCCCAAGCACCTCTATCTCCCACTCATCACCTACCAGCACCACAGAGGCCTCTGGGGTCCCTGCCTCCCTGGGGTGCTAAAGCGCATAGATGGTGAGGGGCAGGGGTGTGGGCTAGATGCCAGAATTGGTTACCCAAGGATTAACCCTCTCCTGGGGAGGATAGAATGGGAGGATTCGAGAAACCAGGTGCTCAGCACAAGAGACCGGGTTGGCCCTTGGGTAACTCAAATCCCCCGGGGACAGAGCACCGTGGTGGTGAGTGGGAAGGACCCCAATCTCTCTCCAAGGCGGGGTCTTCCAGAGAAGTTCTCACCAGGTGATGTCCAGGTCCCAGCACTGAACTACAGGAATGTCTCTGAGAAAACCTCCACGACTCCAGGCCCCTGTCATTGGCCTTTTTGTTCCCTCTGGGCTTAGAGCAGAGCCTCGTTCATTTGTGACCCCCGGGAGCAGGGAAGGGAGCCCGGCCAGCTGACCCTGGCCCCAGCACGGCCTCCTCTCCACCTCTGTGCAGACTTGCCTACCTAGGCAGCCCTTACTGTTGCCCTGGTTACCGCTGCCCACAGCTGGTCAGCTGATGGTATCAGCTGTCGTTGGGGAAATCTAGAATCTGGGGAGGGGGCTCTGGGGTGTCTGAATGGAAAAACCACAGTGGGGAGGGTCTTGAGAGGACAGGTGAGGGTGTGCCCTGGGACCTCTTTCTCAAAGAGACGAGGACGGGTAGGGCCAGGAAGGGGGGGGGAATGTGTCTGGGTTAGTGGGAGACAGAGAAGAATGAATCCTGAAGGATGGGCTCCAGAAAGAAAGGAGAAATGAAAAAGGCAGGTAGCCGAGTGGCTGAGGAAGGGTGGAAAGAATCTGGGCTCAGCTGCTGCATGTACGGCAGAGGCGGGAGAGGGGCCCGTGGAAAGGTACTAGAAAGCCTGGGAGTGGGAGAGAAACACAGGCTCCATCGACCCATGAAAAAAAGGCCAGGAGATGATGCAGGAGGAGGTGCACTTTTGATGTGGCAGGAGCGGGCCACAGCCTTAGCAGAGGGGAACCAGGCCTTTCTGGACAACCAGCCCGGCCTCTCAGCTTTCTGCCCCTTCAACCCCACCCTTATTGCCCTGTCCCCACCCTAGTGCTGCACAGCCTCCCTCCCCCTCTCCAGGAGACCAAGTGCCAGGTAGCCCTTTAGGATTCCTGATTTTTTCCCCACTATCTTGGTTCCTTCCCTGTTTTCATGCGCCACCCACCCCCCAAGACCCCATTCCAGGATATTTGCCTTCCGGTGCAAGGGTCCCCAGAGGCAAGGCTGGAATGAGCGGTTGCCAGGAAGGACAGCTGTGGACAGGGGCCTGGAATGAGGTGGCTCAGGAGGAATGGTTGGGAGTCGCTGGGCTGGGAGGAGGGGGGCATTCCTCAGGGAAACGAGCACTCTGGATAGAGTGGGGAAGCCTAGGGGAGAGGGCAGGGGGAGGGGGAAGGGGGGGGGTCTGCGGTACCTTCAAGGGCCTGGGGCGTGGGGCTCGGCAGCTTCCTCGGTGACATACACCTCCATCCCTCAGCGCATCTCCTCTCCGCCTCCCGTTGCCAAGACAACCTGCCGGCTCAGCCGAGGAGGCAGCCGCGGCAGGGAGGGGGGAGGAGGCAGCTGTAGCTCCTACTGCCTCTTCTTCAGCAATGGAGGGAGGGGGCCTCGGTGCCGGGGTGGGGGTGGGGGAGCTTCAGGAACCGGGGCTCCCACTGAGCCCCCCCAACCCTCCCGTTCCCTCTCCTTCCGTAACGCTCTGGGATTGGCTCCTGGGGCGGCCTAAGGAGAACCTTAATTCAGGGCCAGATAGCAGGCCGGTCTTGGGAGGCACTGGGCCACGTCCCCCATTCCAGAAAGCTCAGCGTGGAGCTGGGAAGACCGATAGGAACAAGGGAGGGATGGCTTATGTTGAAGGGTCGGAGGGTGGTTTCTGGCAGGAAGGAGAGGCCCCGGGTGTGGCTACGGTGGGCATGTGGGCCATGGGCTGAGAAGGTCAGAGCCTGGGACAGCACTCTTCCAGTCCCGCAAGGCCCATTCCCACTGCCCCTCTCTCCATAGACATGTCCCTCCAGGGGCGGGAGAGCACCTTGGGCAGAATAGTCCCCCTCAAGCCAGCCCTGGAACCAAGGGGACTGCAGAGTTAGGGCTCCCTCTGTCGACCTGAGGCTTGGTAGCTGTCAAGGTCATTCCTTGCAGAGGGATCCTGATGTGTGGGGGGGTGGGGGTGGGGGTGGGGGAGGGTGTTGGGAGGGACGTGGGAGGGCACAGCCAGGCCAGAAGACCCTTCCCTCGCCTGCCAGGCTCTGCCTCCCCCTCATCTTTGGCCTCGCCCTATGAGGAGACTTACTCTGCCTCGAGCCCCCTCCTCCTGGGAAGACCCCAGACTCTTCAAGGCCAGCTGAACGGTCGGTCTTCCCCCACTGCTTGCCAGCCACTCCAGTAGGCTGGGAGGACAGGGGAGGCACAGGCTTCCCCCCAGAAGCAGGCAACACTGAATACCAGGCGCCTGTGAGCCCAGGCCCTGGGGTGGGCTTCCTGGGCACGGCTTGGCCGCACCCCACCCAGCAGGCGGCTAACAGGACAAGCGTACCTTGAGGCTCAGGAGCACCTTCACGCTCGAGGATGGGCACGTGCGTCCACAGCAGGGGGCTGGGGCTCCTGCCCCTCTCAGGCGGGTGGTCCCAGGCCCAGGATACCTAGTTCTTGGCTCTTTTCCCCAGCAAGGTCACCGCTGCCAGATGTCCTGACCAGACGCTGGCCCTGCCGCCTGTCCCCTCCCCAGGGGCTGTGCGTAGATTTCTCTGTCCTCTCTCCGTCTCACTCCATTGCCCCTGCCCCACCCCCTGCACCGACCTGCCCGGGGAGGTCTAAACATTAACTCCTGGAGAGGCTGACTGGGCACCTGTGCACCTAAGAAGGGACAGTGACAGAGAACTGGGCCAGCAGAACAAAAGAAAGGACGAGGGCCTCCAAGTGACCCTTTCCCATCAGTCTGGATGACACGTCCCCCACCTCCGATCACTGGACTGTCTGACTCCTGGACCCCAGAGCCTCAGCCCCAGCAGCTGCACCAGACCAGCCTCTCCCCTGAACCCCAACCCCACAATCGCGACTGGTCACTCCCCTTCTTGAAGGCCCTCACTGTCTCCTCCTGTCACAGCAGAGACCCAGCTCTCCATAACGTGGCCCAATCCTTTCCTGCCACTTCTGGCTGCGACCTTTCAGTGCTAGCCAAGCCGATCGACTGCTCACCCTCCCACTCCAACAACAGACCTCACATTTTCCTGCCTCGAAGCCCTTCTTCCCATGCTGTTTTCACTCTCAATATTGCCCCCTGGTGGGTCTTCTTTGCTGACGGAAATCCTGCTCCTATCTTCAAGGTCAAGCAAACCCCAGCCCTTCCCAGTGCCCCTGCCCCACGTACATCCCAGAACCCACCGTGCCTGGCTGAGGAGTGGAGAACATCCCACTCGAGGTGTTAAAAGACGGGTGAGAGGGCTTCCCTGGTGGCGCAGTGGTTAAGAATCCGCCTGCCAATGTAGGGGACACGGGTTCGAGCCCTGGTCCAGGAAGATCCCACGTGCTGGGGAGCAATTAAGCCCGTGCGCCATGACTGCTGAGCCTGCGCTCTAGAGCCTGCGTGCCACAACTACTGAGCCCGCGTGCCGCAACGACTGAAGCCCGAGGGCTTAGAGGACATGCTCCGCAACAAGAGAAGCCACCGCAATGAGAAGCCTGCGTGCACACCGTAACGAAGAGTAGCCCCTGCTTGCCCCAACTAGAGAAAGCCCGCACGCAGCAACGAAGACCCAATGCAGCCAAAAAAAACAACAAAAAAACAGAGATAGGTGAGAATCTGGACTGTGATCTTGGATAAGTTAACATCTCTGCATCTGAGCCTGCCCACACACAACATGGGAACAATCTCACCCCGCAAAATGAGGGGCTCCATGTGAGCACACCTTGCACACTGCCTGGCACATCTCTGGAGTTCAGTACACAGCAGTGTCCTTATTTTCTCCCCTTTCACTCTTTGGGGATGTACCAAATGCTGCTTTGCTATCTTAGGGGTAAGAGACAGATTTCCAAAAGTCCTCAAAAGAACTGCCTTTTTATGGGTTGGTCCCCCCCAATTAAATTTCAAGTGTCTTGAGAGCTTGACAGGGGATGACACACTATCTTGTCCATCTTTTTTTATTAACTGAAGGGCTAGCACATCGTCATACATTGTAGGGAATACACAAATATTTGGATTAACTGCTTAGGACCCCTCCTGCCCAAGTCCTCCTAAGGATGGAGCTTGGAGGCAGGATTCTGGCTTCTCATCCTACCTCTACCTTCAGGGACCACAGGGTGCTGGGCCAATGGCCAACGACTTCTTTCTGGGTCTTCAGTTGGGTTATTTCCTCAAGAAATACTTATTCTGTGTAACGTACTGTGCTGGGTACTATGGGGGGTGCAAAGACTGACTAGTTCTACATCTGAGGCCTTTGCTGTCCAGCGGAACCATGACACGAGCATAGATAAGTACAGTTCTGGACGAGCTGTGATATGTGCCTTAAGGCCAGGGCAAGTCAATGGCCGGAGGGGCTGGGGGCAGCAGAGACGGCCACTGCCCCTGGGAGAGTGAGGGGCGTCTGCAGAGCCGAGGACATGGCTGTGGTCTGGATGTGCCAGCATTCTGGAGAAGGGCATGCAAGGCAGTGGGAAACTCATGAGCAAAGATGGGCCCTACTAGAGAATGGACTTGAGGATATGGGGAGGGGGAAGGGTAAGCTGGGACAAAGCGAGAGAGAGGCATGGACATATATACACTACCAAACGTAAGGTAGATAGCTAGTGGGAAGCAGCCGCATAGCACAGGGAGATCAGCTGGGTGCTTTGTGACCGCCTGGAGGGGTGGGATAGGGAGGGTGGGAGGGAGGGAGACGCAAGAGGGAAGAGATATGGGGACATATGTATATATACAACTGATTCACTTTGTTATAAAGCAGAAACTAACACACCATTGTAAAGCAATTATACTCCAATAAAGATGTTAAAAAAAAAAAAAGATGGGCCCAGCAGGAATTCCCTGGTGGTCCAGTGGTTAGGACTCCGCGCTTCCACTGCAGGGGGCAGGGGTTTGATCCCTGGTTGGGGAACTAAGATCCCACAAGCTGTGTGGTGTGGCCAGAAAAAAAAAAAAAAAAAAGATGGGCCCAGAGTGTCTTTTGGACTGCAAGCGTTGCAGTTTTTTTTTTTCTTTCTTTCTTTTTTTTGCAGTATGCGGTCTCTCGCTGTTGTGGCCTCTCCCGTAGTGGAGCACAGGCTCTGGACGCACAGGCCCAGCGGCCATGGCTCACAGGCTCAGGCATGTAAGATCCTCCTGGACCGGGGCACGAACCCGTGTCCCCTGCATCAGACCCCTGCATCGGCAGGCGGACTCCCAACCACTGCGCCACCAGGGAAGCCCCAATGCTTGCAGTTTTGCCAGCGTTCTTGAGGGGAGCTGGAGGCACAGGGCTAGCGGGGGGCCTTGGCAGGACTGGGCAGGGGTTTGAAAGCCATGCTGAGTCTGTTAGTGATGATGTGACTCGGGCAGAGCTGTGGTAAGGTAAGGTGAGCTGAACAGACTACGTGATGTGCTGAGGGTGTGTGTGTGTGTGTGTGTGTGTGTGTCAGGAGGGAAAAAGACCGCTGAGAGAGCTACCGCATTCATTGAGACAGATCCCCGTGAGGTCCGGCCATGGTGCAGGGTTCCAGAGTTTGGAGGAGAAAGCAGTCGTGTGAAAGGGGGTGACAGCTGACATGCTGGTTTGCTCAGGGAGAGGAGAGAGTGACAGATCTCGGGGCATGTTTCTGTGAAGAGGGGCCAGGAAAGAGAAGAGTCCGCGAGCCAGAGAGAAGGAAGAAAGGACCGCCTAGGGCAGGTGAGGGAGGAAAGAGCTTCAAGGACAGGTGGTCCTCGTAGCTGTCCAGGGCTGTGAGGCTGAGGCTGGGTGACTGGGAAGTCACAGCCAGCGGAGTCTGAGGGACAGGGTTGACTAGAGAGACATGGCGAGGGCTAAAGTGTGAATGGATTCCCGCCCCCTGCCACCGCCCCGACTTCCTGCTTCGGCTCCCCTCCGCCTCATCTGGCCGTTTGGAGGACAGGACAGAGAAGCCAGGATCTATATGTAGGCTATTCTTAGCCAGAGTTCTTGGTAATCCTAAACAGGCATAGCATTTGAGGCACGCTGCTGCCGCCGCCGCCGCCCTCCCCCTGTCACACCCTCCCTGAAACGGATGTGTTCAACTCACCCTGTCTTCCTGCCCTGTGTCCATCCCTACCCGCCCACCTCCTTGGAGCTTTAGGGCGCCCAGAAGCAACCAGGGTTGCTGTAGCCATCAGAGGTCCACGGGAAGCCTCCTTCCTGCCACACACACAGATACTTTAAATCCCGTCCCCCCATCCCATTATTAGAGACCCATTCCTTTGCCTTCTTCCTTTTAGCATCTTCGAAATCACCACCAGGTAGGAGAGAACGAGCTGAAGAGACTTCCCCAGAGCATGAAGAGGCACCCTGGCTATGGAGCCTGGAAGCACCAACAGCTGGGGGACCCAAGGCCACAAGCGGGCGTCGGAGCTGCCGGGCTCCGGCTGGGGTTGGGGCAAGGGCCCCGTCTGAGATGGCACAGGCCTCCAGAGCGGCCTTCCTCTCTCACCCTTCCCCGTCCTCTGTCCCTCCCTGCCAGGTCTCACCTCAGAAAGCAAGAAAGGAAACAGTGAGGGCTTTCTGGAGCCGTCCCCCAGAGGCCTGTCTGTGCTGGGGAGGTCAAAGAGAGGGAGGGAGGGGCCGGAGAAAGGCGGAGAAGAAAGGGGAGGCGAGACAAAGGGCCCCATCCACCTTTGAAGCTGTCTCTAACCCGAGCCGGTGGGGGGGGCGGTGGGCCTGAGCTTTAAAGAATGTCTCAAATTCCTGCGGAAATCAGAGGGCTTGTAAGAGCTCCCCCTCCCCGGCACACCTCCTTCCCAGCCCCCCAAGTCCAGTCCTCCACACCTGGGGGCCCCGACCCTTTGTCCTCAGGTAATTGCTGGGCGTTGCCCCTGCGTGGAAAATCCCATTGAACTCGCCAGTTATCAGCTGTGGCTGCAGACCACCCTCCCTACACTCTCCCCACCTCCCCCGAAAACGACCCCCAACACGTTTCCCGCAGTCTTCAGCAGGATTAAGGCTCTTTGTGATTGGGGGGGAGAGGAAAAAGCAACCTGGTGAAAAGTGATTACGACAAGCCGGAGGGAGAATGGCCTGGGGCCTGGGGACCTCCCTCTTGGCTGCCGCTGTCTAAATTGCCTCGAGTTGGGGGTGTCAGCCTTGGCTCCGGTCCTCACCCAGGGAGAGGTGAGTGACCTCCCCGCGCCCCCCAACTTGGACTACGCGCCACTCGTCTCCCCTTTTGACTAAACCAGCCCCCCCCCCCACAGCTTCCCATTCTTTCATTTTTAGGCCACTGTTGGGAGAAATGGGAAGAGATGTCGTTCATCCTCCTTCTTCTCTCTCCAAAATCTCCCTGCCCAACATTTTCTCAGAAAGAGGAGGCAGGGGAAACTGAGGCTGGGGAGTCCGTCCGCAGAAGAGCGGGCTCAGTGAGGTGTTCCCCGTGAAGAGCAGAGGAGGGGCGCTGCTAGGAAGGGCCTCCCCAATGGACAAAATTAAAAACCGTGGCAAAGGAGGAAAGAGGCGGGTTTTATGGCCTCTTAGTTCCACTCCCCGAATGCACACCTGGAGCCGTCCGGAAAGCCCCCCAGAGGAGCTCTGGGCGGGGAGGGGGAGGGGGAGGGGGAGGGAAGAGGATTGCCCCCCCCCCCCGCCCGCGCCCACACCCCGGGCCGCCGCCTCTAATCGCCTTGTCCCCCCAGGTGTGGCCCCCGCCCCGCCCCCCCGCGGGGACCTGGGCGCACTGTACGCGGTCTCGCCCTCCCTCCGCTTCCGCCCGTCCGCGCCTCCTCCCCCACCCGACCTCCTCACCGGAAAAAAGTAATCTGGCTCCCAGCGAGGAGGCTGCAGCGCCCGCGGCTGCCCGGCCAGCGGCCCCGGCCCCGGCCCCGGAGGCTCGGACCGGCCCCAGGATTGGGGTTTCTGCGCCCCAGCAGGTAGCACGGGACGCGCGGTGCCAGCCAGGAAACCTGAGCCCGCGGAGGAGGGGCGCGCTCCGGGCCGCCAGCCTCCCGCGGGGCGGAGGTGCGGGCCTGCCGGGCCATCCCTTGCCGCTGCTCCTGCCCCCTTGTCCCCTGCCCCTGCGGGTACGTGCGGGGCCCGGCCTGGCCTCCACCTGCCGCGCCAGCCCCGGGCCTGCGCGCCGGCCTCCTCTTCTCTCGGAGGAGCAAGTTTGTCCCCAGTTGAGCTTTGCAGTTGTTTCCCCCACCCCCCCCACCCCGCTTCAGATAACCCGTTTGCAGGAAAATGGTTTTATTCCGGGGCTGGGAGTTGGGGGAGAGGGTGTAGGCCTGGGTAGTGGAATGTGAAGAATGGCCAGCCCTCTTTTTTTTTTTTCTCCCTCTTTTTTTTCCTGAAACCAAAACAAAAGTCCTTTCCTACAGTCTGGCCAGGAGGAATTTGGAGGCTGGGGGGCAGACTGAGGGAGACAGGGGCAGCAGAGTTCGAGGAGAGCCGCCTCCAGACCGTGTCTGCAGAGCCTTGAATCCGCTGACTTTGCCCACTTGGTTCAGGGGAGCCTGACCTCGGGTTATTCTACCTTCCCCTTCTGGGGGGCCTGCCCCGCCCCCAGGGGGCCACGCCAGGGTGGGGCCCTGAGGAGCCAGCCCTGGTTAGTGGCAGTCCTCCGCCTTTCCGGTGGGGGGTCTCTGATGCTCGGTGGTCCTCAGCATCCTCCTTGGGGGCCTGGCTCCCCTGCCTCCACCCCAGCCCTGTCTTTGGATTAGGAAGGGAAGGGGATGGGAAGGCCCATGAGTGAGGGGCGGCTGCCCCCCCGGGGGTGTCCCTGACTATGTCAGGGGCTGTGGCCTCCGAGTGCGCTTGGTCCGGCGGGTGGGGGCTGAGCCCACAAACTCGAACTGCTTCTGCCTCTCGGCATGGTTGGGGAAGGGCAGCTGGCCCTGGTAGAGGCGCTTGATGAAGTGAGCCTCTCGCTGGTTCTGGCGGCTGCGGGAGGCCTGGCGGGGCCGGCCCTGCCGCGTGAAGGCCATGAACCAGCCCTCGTGCCGTGCATTCTGGAAGGCTGTGTAGTTGTTCTCCAGCACGATCTCTGTGAACACGCAGTCTTTGCTCTTCCCGCTGGGCTGCAGGGGAAGGAAGGGGAGTTTGTCCGCCTACCCTGGCTGGCTAGTCTGCCTTATGGACCTATGTTGTAGGACCGAGGAGGGAGCGACAGGGGCTGTGAGCCCAAGAATTCCTGCCCGGTGAGACGGGCACCCTTGTTGGAGAGGCAAAGGAGGGGGCAAGGAACAAGCTTTGTTGGAGTCAGATCTGGACTTAAATACAGCCTTGTCATTTGGAGGTTGTACACATTGAGCAAGGTATTTAGCCAGGCTGAGCCTCCGTTTACCCAGCTGTTTCATAAAGGTCAAGGTAACTGTGCAGTTCAGTGCATACCCAGTGGGCACTCGTATATAGGAGAACGTTCCTTGGTCTGCGTGAATGGTGTTGCTGGGTGGAGGGGAGGGACGCGACAGTCTGATGGAAAGAAGGGGAAAACATCTGTAGAACACCAACTGTGTAAAGAGCCAGGCAGCCGCCCATCTGGCTCTATAGATAATCTTGACACCGTGCCCATTTTACAGATGAGAAGCCTGAGACTTGACAAAAATAAGCCAATATTTGAAAACAGCCAGAATCAGAAGCCAGGATTGGCGGATGCCAAAGGAAGTGGAATTCTCCCTGCACAGCCACTCTGGCCCCACCACTGTAGAGAGTGTAACTAGTGGTTACGCTAGTAGGCAGTTAGCACGACTCTTGTTACTTGGAGCCCAGGACCCCACTGACCTGAGGGGGCGTGGCTTCTGGCCTCTCAACCCTGATCAGCTCTTAGCCCTCGACACAGAGGCTGTGACATGATGTAGGTGCTAAAATTCTTCCTCATCATTGCTGGGAAAGTACCTCATACGTCAGAGCCAAGGAGTCTTATGGGTCAGCCAGTGTCCTCAGAGGGCTTCTAGACCCACAGGGGCCGGAGAGACCAGAGAGAGGCCGAGTGGGGGGGTGAGAGCAGGAGGAGTCAGAGCCCTGGGTGGGGCCCTGCATGCCGCATTCGTTCGTGACTCCCTGCCCTCCGGGCCTCACCTTCCCGATGAGCTTGCCCCTCTTGTTCATACAGATGTATTTCTCGCTCTCAGCTCCCTTGATGCGCACGCGGCTTCCGAAGGTGTCTGTCTCCACTATGAGCTTGGCTGGGGGCGTGGGGGGTGGGGGAGAAAGACCTCTGTCCCTCGGGGCTGCTGGCCCAGGGGTGTGCAGGGAACCCCTCCCTACCAGCCTGCCCTCTGAATTTGGGTGGGGGGCCCTCGGGGCCTCTCCTCCTAGAGGCTTCTCCCTGCTCTCCCCCTGCAGCCTCCACCCTGACCCGTCTGGGGATGGACCAGGCAAGGCTGGGTAGGGGCGTGGGTGGCCTCCGGGGAGGGCTGGGCCTCACCAAACTTGTTGCCATCCTCAGCGGTGGCGGAGATGCGACGCCCAGTGACCTGCACGTGCTTGCCGCTGGTCCGGCTGTAGAGCTGGTACTCGCGGATCTGCCGCCGGCTCAGCTGGTCGGTCATGGCACCCTGGTCCCTCACGTACTGGTTAAAATTAGGAGACGGGTGATTCTCCCCCTTTGCGGTTACCAAGGGAAAAACAGTGTCAATTTGCTTTGGGTGACACTACCGCAGGTCCATCCAGGGGAGGGGTGCGGAGGCGAGTGTGGTGGGGCAGGTCATTTGCCCTGAGAAGTTGAGGTGCACGGGGCATCTGGCCATGCCCTTCCCAGGCCAGTGTGTGAGCCAGTCATTGTGACTTGGCTCTTCGTCTGCCCTGGAGCACAGGACTGGTAGCTGCCCAGCTCTGGGGACACTTGGTGATACAGCTCAGGCCTGGAATCACGACTCTGGGAGCTGGAAGGAACGTTCAAGCTGCTGGTGCCTAATCCCCATGGTCTAGGGAGGAAGTGCACAGGGCCGCACAGCTGATTAGTGACAGACGCCTGTCCCGCCTCTAGGACGGAAGCTTGTCTCCTCTCCAAAACTCCAGGGGCTTGGCGCTGTTAGCCAGGGTGACCAGATGTCTCCCCAGTCCTCCGCACTGGCCTCAAAGGAGCCCACGCCCAGCACATGCACACACACGTGTGTGCACACTCACGCACACACATACGTGCACACACAGCAGCTGGTCTGTTAGAGTCACTGGAGACCTTTTTGGGGGCTCTAAGACCCTTCTCTGTAGGCTCCTGCAGGGCCCCTGGAAGCATTTCTTTATAGCACTAACGAAGGACTCCTGAGCTCACGCCCATCTCCCCGGCCGCTCCCCCTGGGTGCTCAGGGCCCTCAGAGAAGCCAGTGCCCCTTCCAGCATTCCTCCCCCTCTAGCTGAGGGCGGTGGAGGCGGTGGTGAGAGGTGCCCTCAGTGGTGGCCCAGTGGCTGCCCTGTGAGGCCACCTGCGTGTGCCACAGTGTAACAGAGGCTCGTGGCCAGCCGGGGTGATGCTACCGCCCACTGCTTCCAGGGGAGTGGAGAGGGGACGTTTCCACCCGCACACGATACAAAGCCAGGACGAGTACCTCCTCCGGGCCTGGTGTCTCCTTACCCATCTGCAGTGCTGAGTAGGAGAGAAACAGACCACTTCCTGCCCTCTCTCTCCAGCAAGGTGCAAACCGGGATGACGTTTCCCAGCCGCTGGTGACAGCCTCAGCTCTAGCACTAAAAAGTTTCTCCACCTGGATCCTGCTGGCCTGTGCTGGGACAGCCTTTCCCTGCCCCAGATCCCTAAGTCCGCCGCTATCCCAGGCCCAATCGCAACCATCCGGACAGAGCTAGACCCAGACCAGCATCTGTGAGGGGCCTCTCTCTCCTGGAGGGAGGGGTGGGAAGTATCATCTTTGAGGAGCGGGGAGGTGAGGGAGCAGCTCCAGGCTGTCATTCAGCGGAACCTGCTCAGGGTTAACCCTTCCCGGGTGTCACTGCCCAGGTCCGACCCCGGCTTATCCACAGCCTGGATTCCCAGCCTATGAGGGCAGGGTCTGCCCACCCCACATCCCGCCCTGGGAAAACCTGAGGCCAGCATTTTGGGTGGGGGACCTGCCTCCCTGCCAGGGGGTGGGGTCCGGCCTGTCCCCAGCCCCCCCGAGCCTCCTGGCCCAGGTTCAGGCCCTCCGCCCCTCTTGGCGGGCAGCCTCCTTCTGGCTGTCTGTTCCAGGTCGGGAGCAGAGAGGGCCCCCCCGAAGCCCCCTCCTCTACTCGTCCCCCTTCAAGCCCTGCACAAAAGCAGTCCCACGCCCCCCCCAGCCCACAGCCCACAAGTCGCTCTCCCCGCGGGACCTTGCTTGTCCCTTTCATGTTCCCGCTGCAGGGGGACCTCCCCTTCCACTGCTGCAGACAGCTGCTTGTCAGACGGCCCCTCAAGCATGGCTGCGGTCCGGCCTGCTGGCCCCCCCCTCCGAGGGGGGGCGAGGGGGCACTTCAAGGGGGAAAGGACAGCTTTGCCACCTTCCCCGGGTCCTGAATGGGGCCTCAGCCAGGCCATAAACGCCGGCCCGCCGCACCATTGTGCTAATTCCCCCTCCAGAACAGGTTGGGCCCACCCCCAGACCCCTCCCGGCCAGGCTGGGGGCTTTCTTCTTGCTCTCCCTGGATGTGTGAAGCAAAAGGCCTGGAACGGGGGCTAGAGCAAAAGGGGGAAGGAAAGGGGGGGTTGTCTCTCCCTCTCTCCCTCCCACCCCCCCACTGCTTCAAAGGCAGCCCCTTTCCCTCTCCCAGAGAAAAGGCATTTACCTTCAAAAAAAGTCCCCACTGGATATGAAGAGAAGCGGGCCTCTGGCCTGGGAAAGCCAAGGGATCTCTCCCCAGAGCGGTTCTGGACCAGTGCATTTTAATAGCTGCACTTTTATGGAGGATCACAAAAAGGGACCGAGCCTCACATAGGGGGCTGAGGCTGGGGCGGGGGGGGGGGGGGGGCGCGGCCTGGGGGGGGGGGGGGTGGAGAAGCAAACCCTGAATCTCATCCCATACAAACCTCTTCGGGCTTGACCTCATTGCCCTGTAGGTAAGGAGTCGCCCACCCTGGCTGGGCATTCTGACTGCCCACGCGATCACCCAGGACCGCGACCCACAGGACCTCCGTGTTGGTGGGAGCGGGGTGGTGAGTGGAACAGACGGGCGGTTTTGCGTGGAAACCTGTCCTTTCAGGTACTCGCAAGTGCAAGCCTCACCTGAGCCATCACCTCCGCCCTCTTCCGACCACTCCCGGGCTCCATCCCTCAGGCTTGGCTGCCCCATGCGCTTAGCCTTGGGGGGAACACAGTGTGGAGGGATGGAGGGAGCAGAAGAGACCCCAGGGCAACACGGGAGGGGTGTCAGAAGGAGGGCTGAAATCAAAACTTCCATCAATCCCCCAATCTGCTGTGGCCCCTTCTCCTACCCCATCCCACCGCCCCCCCCAAACCTCAGAGTCTTCTGGACTCAGGGAGAGGCCAGGATCTGCCTCTGTCCACGGAAAGGAGACTGACCGCCCCCATCGGTAGTGTGGGAGAAACGGGGAAAAGCTAGTGGGGGGCGCCCGCCTACCTGAGTTTGACAGCAGAGAATCAGCAGCTGCAGGCACCTGTGTGGGAGACGAGGCGGGCCTGGGTGTGGGTGCCAGCAGCCAGCCCCGGGGCGCAACAGGCACCCACCCCTGCCCCACGCGGTCCGTGTGCGAGTCCCAGGAAGACTGGGTCTGCCCCCGAGGCTGGAAATGGCAACAAGACGGCAGTCCGAGAGGTAGCGCACTTACAGCGTGAGGTTGGGCAGCAGGCGGGCGGCTCCCATCGCCGGAGAGATTTCTTGGGGCCGTTGCCCTCCTGCCCCCAGAGTCAGGAGCAGATGTGGGCAGTCCCTGGGGGCAGAGTCCCAGAGAAGCCAAGGTCTCTCCAAGCCACAGGTTTTCAGTGGGGAGAGGAGAGAGACGGGAGGAGGAGGAGAAAGGAGAGAAGGGAGGAGGGCGAGGGGGGAGGAGGGCGTAATTGGGAGACTGAGGTGTGAGGAGTCCACCTTCCTGGCCAGTGAGACTGCAAAGCAGCTGCTGGCAGGGGTCGGTGGAGGGTGCTGTCAGCCTCTCTCTGGGATACCCCAGCGCAGAGGATGGAGCTGCTGGAGGCTTCTAGACCCAGAGGCTGGCTCCTGCGTTCTTACTGACCCTCACGGACCCGACGGCAGGGCCCCTCCTCCCGTCTCAGGGCAAGCTTCCCCTGCCCCACCTCCCCTAGGGTGAGCTGCAGGTATCATTCCAGGCCTGGGGTCGCTGGGTCTGGGTCTGGGGGTGGAAATTCCCAGCAGCAGCCTTAAAAGGAGGAGCCTCCCTCCAGGGGGCAGGAGGTGGGCTTGGCTAGGAGCGTAGCTTCCACTGCCTCTGTCATCCCTTACTCCCCCTGTCTGCTGTCTGGCCACCGGGAAGGAGGGGTTAAGGCTGTCCCGACGGGCATCACACAGTGGGCGCCACAGCTTGGGGACCAGGGGTAGGGAGGCAGGTGCAGGTGGGGCCTTAGAAGGACCCCATGGTGAGGAGAGCGGGTGCACTGGTACCAGCCGCTTTCCTCCGGGCCTTGGCCGTTTCCTCTGAGAGATGGGCACAGTAGTGCCTCGGGATGTTGGAGGACCCAGTGAGATGGCCGCACTGAGGCAGAAGTCAAAGGTATATGTTCTGGGCCTCACTTGTCATCCTCCCACGACAGCAGCCATCCCTAGAACCTCCGGGAGCTGGGAGGAACCCAGGGCCTCCTCCCTGCGGCTCCTCAGCAGCGGTCTGGGATGAAGTGCCCAGCGGCCCTTTCTTTTTCTAACCTCGGGTCCCACGCTGCTCTGTACCACACCAGGTATCACCCCATTCTGCAGAGGAGGAAACTGAGGCACACGGTAGGTCGTTTGCTCAGGATCACCCAGCTAGTGAATGGCGTAGCCAGGTTTCCAAAGTCCATGCTCTTTCTCTCCCACACAGATTCCTTCTACTGTGCCCACGCCTGCCGGGGCCAGCATAGCGCCCACCCATGATGTCCCAATATTCCTGGTCCTGGAAGCTGATGACCAGGAACTCTACGCGGTTCCTTCCCCGCAGAAGGTGACTGATGGTGACTGTGGAAGGGGGCTAGTGCTCAGGGGCGGAATCTCTGAGGGAAGCTTACACCTCAGCTCTGGGCTCCCTGGAGGTCTCAGTGCCTCCAGGATGGGAAGAGAAGGGGAAATGCTGGCTGTGGATTTATTTACCTAAAGAGATGAGTGGGAGGGCGAAACTCTCACCTCCAGGCCTCCTTCTCACCTTCCTGAGCTAGGTCAATCCACAGAGTTGTCTGCCACCCCTCCCCACCCACGAGCAGGGACACCTCCAGCCCACCCGGTCAAGCTCCACACTTGGCTCCCAGCTCCGCCCCAGGTGCCCCGCTGGGGGCTCAAGGGTGAGTGGAGCCCGAGCTGGCCTGGGGAATGGAGTGTTGGCTCCGGCCCTGACCTTTGTAACTAGGGGTGTCCTGGGTTGGAATCAGTTGGAAAGAATGTCAAAACTGGAAGGGAGGGCTTCCCAGGTGGCGCAGTGGCTGAGAGTCCGCCTGCCGATTCAGGGGACACGGGTTCGTGCCCCGGTCCGGGAAGATCCCACGTGCCACAGAGCGGTTGGGCCTGTGAGCCATGACCGCTGAGCCTGCGCGTCCGGAGCCTGTGCTCCGCGACGGGAGAGGCCACAACAGTGAGAGGCCTGCGTACCGCAAAAAAAAAACTGGAAGGGTATCTTAGAGATTCTTCATCTGGTCCAGACTCCTCATTCACCAATGAGGTCCAGAGAGGGTCTCACAGCTAGTTAGCAGCATAGTTGGAACAAGGTACCAATCATTTCCATTTTCCACATTCGCACCACCATTTGGGGCCCCATTTAAACTCTCCCTCTTCCATGGAAACATCTGGAATCTACCTCTCCACTGTGACCGGTGCTGGTTCTGTCTCTATTCTCTGGGAAGACCTTGTCCTCATGCCCACATGCTCACGTGCTCACCAGCTCCTAGCTCCCTGGTAGGGTATTAAAAGCTGTCTCCTCCGGACCTCAATCCCCAGGAGTCACAGGTAAGAGCAGAGAGGCATGGAGGAGACAGCTCAGGCTTGGGGTTCAGGGGTGGAGGGGTCAGCTGGGAGACGGAAGGCAGTGAGGAGAGGCAGGTGTGGGGAGTTCCATCTGGGCCCAAGGTCTCTGAGCCCGAGAACCTGGTTCCTATCAGTGGGGGAAGGGCCTGCTGTCACTGGCCAGCCCCCAGCCCAGCCGGGGTCTCCATGGTAACAGATGCCCACAGTCAAGCTTGGCCTTGGGGCTCAGACAGGGGGCTGGTGCCAGGGGGCTCTGGGGCACATCTGGGTAGCCCATTCTGCACCTGCAGGCCTGGCTTTCTGGCTCCGTTTGCCCCTTTACCCCCATGGGAAGGCCGGCGGTGGGCTCCAAGTGGGGAGTGTTCCAGTCCCAGACTCTGAATTTTATCCCCATTCCCTGACCCCGGCCCTTACAGGCTATGTGACCTGTGGCAAGTCCCTTCACCTCTCTGGTCTCAGCTTCCTAATTTATAAAAAGGAAATGGCCACTGCTGATGCTGCCAAAACTGCTATCTTGTCAACTGAGAGGAAGGACACTTCCTGAAAAGTGTCAAGTGCCGCAAGAACGAGGGAGAGGGGCAGAGACCCTCTTACGTGGTCCAGCCTCAGTTTGCCTAAATTTTGACTTTCTCCCCTCACCAGAGGGACCTGGGAGCGGGGGAGGGGGGCGGCGGGGGGAGAAGGGTAGGGTTCATTACCATTTATGGGGGGTGGCAGGAGGTGATAAGGGGAGTGAGGAGTAGTCAAGGCCGTGGTGGTTAATCCCATCCCACAGTGCCAAGTTCAACACCTCCCCCCACAAAGGGGGCGTCTCACGCCTGCTCCTAGCAGCCCAGCTTGTGCAGACCCAGAGTCCACCTGCATGCCGGCCACTTGTCACCACCTGCTTTGACCCCAGCCCACCCTTTTCCTGTTGACAAACAGAAGGGCTAGGGCTGGGGAAGGGTGAAGGGCAAAGAGCACTGTAGCAATGCGGACAGACCACCCCCCCATCTTTGCTATCTGATCCTCACCGCCTGCCAGCACGTGGAAATCAAATTGTCAGACGTCTAGCTGTTAAGTGCCCTTCTGTGCAGTCCTGCTGCGGAGCCAGAGAACAAGGGCGCTTGCCTGGGGTTGGCGGAGCAGAGAAGTACCTGCGACAACACAGGCTTTGCAATAACTTGGCTCCGGAGCTGCCCCTCCTGGGCTCCAGTTATACCGTGGACTCAATTCTAAGTCCCACTCTCAGTTTGAGGCTTCCTGGCACCCTCAAACTTCCACGTCCCCCTCTCACCCACAGAGTGGTTAAAAACAGGGCCCTAGTGCCAGACTACCTGGGTGTGAATCCTGGCTGTGTGACCTTGGGGGGCAAGTTGTTTAACCTCTCTGTGCCTCACTTTCCACATCTGAGAAATGGGGCTAATAACACCCACCTCTAGGCATGGTTGTGAGGATTAAAGGTGTGAATCCATGGAAGGCACTTAGAGCAGCACCCAGCTCACAGCGTTATCACTGCAATCACGTCAGCCTTCTTTCTGTCCAAACCACTGTGCTTGTTCTGCCTCAGGGCCTTTGCACCCTCTGTGCCTGCTCCTAGGAATGTCCTTCTGCCAGCTCTACATGTAGCCACCACTCCCTTTTTGTCAATCGTCTCCTCTGAAGGACCTTCTCAGATCCAACTAAACAGTACTTCCCGGGACTTCCCTGGTGGTCCAGTGGTTAGGACTCTGCACTTCCACTGCTGGGGGTGTGGGTTTGATCCCTAATTGGGGAACTAAGATCCCACAAGCCATGCGTCATGGCCAAATCCCCCACCCCCCCAAAAAAAACCCCACCAGCACTTCCCCACCCTGGAAATTATCCTGTTTTATGTCCTCCAAAGCGCTGGACAGTAACTGAAATTATGTTGTTGGCTCCTGTGTTTCCACTAGACTGTAGGCAACTTGAAGGGAGGACTTTGTCTTGCCCACCCTGTATCGCGGTGGCATGAAGCTATGGTCAGTGCCAGCTGCCTACCTGGAACCAGACCTGAACTGATGTCCCTTGTCGCTCTGGGGGACTGAGGTCAGTAGCATGTTCTCCTTTGTTAGAGGGTGGGACAAAGCCCACATCTGCCTTGTGGGGTGTAGAAAGCGGAAGCAAGAATGCCAGCCCTGCCTTCCTCTATCTCTTCTGGCATCAAGAGAAGCTGAATGGGAGACTCAAGCCTGCCGGCTGCCCTTCCCATGCAGGTGTTCAGAGACCTCCAACTTTCTGGGACCCATACCTGGGGGTCCTGGGGAGAGAGGGCAGGGCCAGTTCTCCACTGGCCCACTTCAGGCCTGGCCAATGGGGGTGCTGGTTAGGGGCAGGGAGAAGCCCAGCAGAGGCCCTGCAAGTAGACCCCGAGGGGGGCGGCCACCTGCACGTCACTGTGGGTGAACCCAGCTTCAAAGTGGCTCTGCAGGCTGGGAGGGGGCAGAAGGTCAGAGCCACGCGATGGGTCATTCACCCCCCTTCCAATCCTCTGTTGGTCTCACCCCAACAATTTACTGAACCCCGTTCCTGTGGCTCTGACTGCTGCCCTTGGGGAATGCTAGCCCAGGAGTTGTTCACCTGCCCACCTCCTGAAGAGATACTTTATAGCTTCCAGGAAGCCTGCCTGTCTCCCCACTTGGGAGGTTTCCTTGAAGGTGCAGGCCTCTGGGCTCCTGCCTGACACAGATCACACCAGTGACGTCCCTGTGAGCAGCTCACCTAACAGGACGCAAGCCTGGGAGAGCAGAGCTAGGCCCGGCCCTTGAGATGCAGACCCTCAGGCTGGTCCCTTCCTGATAGGGGCGGCGGGCGGCTGTCACCCTTCAGTTCTGTATCTGGAGAGCCAGGCCCTGTCAGAAGGGAGTGTGGACGCAGGAAGACCCACCCCAGCTCTAGCTCCCTCCCTCAGGCCTGAGGGCTAAAGGTCGAAGCTGGGAAAGGGGCTGAGACACTTGGTCCTTCCCCCAAAGCTGGGGATGGGGTAGTGGTGCCGGGCGTGGGGGGTGGGGAGCGCGGTGGGGGCGGTGGGGGGAGAGGGAGCTAAAGAGCAGAACACAGCTGGCTGGCTGGCAGGCAGGCAGGCCAGGGTGTGCTGGCACACGGCTGCCCTCTGCCGGGCTCACGGGCTCACTGCAGCCGGCAAGGACAGCTCCCGGGGAAGGGAGAGACAGCTGCAACAAGGTCCTAGCAAAGCAAACTTTATTGTGGGTCTGAGAGGTCGGGGCTCTTCCCTCCAGGGCCTGCTGCAACCGAGAGTTGGGGTGAGGAGCTCTTGTGTCGCCCCCAACACGTCCATCACATTCAGACTCAGCACGGTGGTCTCACGGGCCCTCCCTCGGTCACTGTGGCCAGGCCACTCCTGGCTCCTCATTTCTTAAATCCTGGCTTTTTAGGTCTGGGTGTGGTTTTGGCCTGTGGGAGAAGGCGTTGCTCCAGTGTCCCACCCTCTCCCCATCCTGGCACCTTCCCAGAGAACATCCCTCCTCCCCCAGGAGGACCAGCCCCTTCTTATCAGCACTCACCTTTCCCACAGGGCTCCTGTCTTTAGGATGGAATCTGGAACGGGGGTGGGGTTGGGCAAGGAGTGGGGATGTGAGAAAGAGAGAGCTCAGTCTGATGCCAGTAGCCCCGGGCCCTCCTACTAGTGCCCAGGCTGCAGAGCTGGGCCCTGTGCACTTCCAGGAAGCAGGGGGCTGTGACCTGCAGAGGTTTGCCTCTCCACCTGTCACCCGCCAGGGACCACTCTGACTCTCTCTTATTTTTAAAATTTTAAAATTTTTAAATTAAAATTATTTATTTATCTATTGGCCCACCACGCGGCATGCAGGATCTTAGTTCGCCGACCAGGGACTGAACATGTGGCCCCTGCAGCGGAAGCCCAGAGTCTTAACCACTGGACCGCCAGGGAAGTCCCTGACTCTCTCTTTAAACAAGATGTTTTTTCTTCTTAAGCTTCTATCTGCTTGCCTTTATTTGTGTATAAGACACAAATGTTTCTTATCATAAAAGTAACGTTAACCACATTGCGCAAAATATAGCAAATAGAGAATAAATTGCCTATACTTTTCTTTACCTCCTACTAATATTAACATTTTGTTTCCTTTCAGAACTTTTTTGTTTGTGAAATAAAATGAAAATAATTTGGGACTTCCCTGGTGGTCCAGCGGTTAAGAATCCACCTCCCAATGCAGGGGACGTGATTCCTGGTCGGGGAACTAAGATCCCACATGCCGTGGGCTAATTAAGCCCGTGCGCGGCAACTACTGAGCACACGGGCCACACCTAGAGAGTCTGTGCACCTCAACGAAGATCCCAACCAAGATCCCGCGTGCCGCAACTAAGACCCAATGCAGCCAAAAATTAAATAACTAAATATTAAAATGAAAATAATTTAATATCCTGCTCTTTGAATTCGAGAAACACTTTCCAGTTTGCTATATTCTTCATGGGCATTATATCACATGCCATTGAGAAGACGTGACATAGTTTAAGCAACTGGTATATTGATGGACATCTACAATGCTTCCATTTTATACTATTATTTGAATAATGCAGTGATATAAGTTTCTTAGTGCATATATTTTCCTCATATCTTGGATGGGATTCTTTGGAAGGAACTGCCATAAGTGGGAAGAAGTCAGAAAATAAGAACTGTTAAATGCTTTTCAAAAAGACTGTGCCAACCGACAGTGGCAGCACACCTGTGCACCTGTGTCTCCGTGTACCACACACCTGCACACACACGTGCATCATCCTCTTTCAAGCACGATGTACCTCAACTAAAAGATTTTGGCTCATTTAATAGATGGAAAGAGTTACCTCACTGCCACCTCCTCTTTTTCCACCTTTTTTTTCTGGAAACCAAGCACAAGCATTATTGGGAGTTCTGGCAAGGCCCAGGGGCAGAGCAGACTCCTGCCGGGCACCTGGCAGCTGTTGCCCCGGGCCTCAGCGCACTCCACTGGGGAGGCCTGGTCCAGGTTTCTGAGGAGCCTTTGCGGGGCGGGTGGGTGTCCCTCCCTCACCTTGGCAATGCTTGTGTGCTTCTGGGGCGCCAGCCTCTTGACTTGTTTGACAGGGGTCTCCTTCTCCAGGGACACATCTGTGTCTTCGTCGTCATCATCTTCTTCCTCTTCCTCCTCTTCTTCCTCCTCCTCTTCTTCCTCCTCCTCCCCCTCCTCTTCCTCCCAGGATTGGTCTGAAGTGTCAGCGATGGTGTGGGAGGAAGGCAGGGCCTCTGAGCCCGAGGGTCTCTGCCAGGCTCCCCTTCCCAGATCTACCTGCCCAAAGTGCGGCTGGCGGGGTGGGGAGGGCAGTGAGGGCTGAGGCCACGGCAGGAGGGCAGGGGAAGTGGTAAGCTGCAGCTCTGGCCGGGCCGGAGGGGGATGCACACTGGGAAGGAGAGTGTGAGGGGAAGGAGGGAGAGGGTGGGGACACAGCAGTGGAGGAACTCAGGCCTCATCCTGAGGCAGGTGGAACCCGCCCGGGGTTTGGAGCAGGAGAGAACCCTGATGGAAGAGGCACCACTGGACAGAGAAGAAGGCAGTTAAAGGTCTGTCAAAAGAGTCAAAAGCACAGCGAATTGCCAGGGTCCATGTTACTGCTACAGCTACACACTTCACAGCAGGTAATGTTTTGAGTGTGCTCTGGTACCAGGCGTTATGTTAAGTGCTTTTTCTGAATATGCCATTTATTCCTCACAACTAGGAGGAATACACTTGAAGATGGAACCAAGTAGAACCCCAGCCCCGTGTTATGGCTGGAGGGCTGCAGCCCACAGAGGACGTGGCGGAGAGGTAAAGGAGAACTGGGGCTAGGAGGCGTGCCCATGGCCTCCTGGTCCAGGCTGCTGGTGATTCTGTTGCCTTTGGGGATCTCCTCCAATAATTCAAGAATCCCTCAAGTGTTTGAGTACCTATTATGTCCTTGGCCCTGTGCTGAGCACTGTACCGGCAGACCTTTCTCGGGTCCAAGCTTGGACTTACCATAACATTCCTGGCCACAGAGGAACACGGGTCCAGAGCCAGCCCGGAGCTGGAACGTGACAGGAGGAGAAAGCTCCAATCCCGCCAGGACAACCTGCAGGGGTAGGGGGTAGAGGGTAGGGGCAGGAGTAGAGAGGACAGGCCACTCGGGCCTGGTACCTGTCTGGGGGTGGGGGATGGGGGCTGGCCTCAGGCAGAAATGCTCAGTTTATTCCCTCCCCTCAACCACACATGCTTCAGGGCTTCCCTGGACCTCTCTGCACTCTCAGCCCCCTGGACCTTCCTGCTGAGGTGGACTCTGTTGGAGAAGAACATGGATCTGATAATCTCATTCCTGCCAAGATCACAGACGGTCTTCCAAGCTGAGGTGCAGCCGTTAAATAGTCTGATAGCTATGGACTGAACTGTGTCCCCTCAAATTCTTACATTGAAGCCCCTAACCTCCAATGTGCTGGTATCTGGGGATGGAGCCTTTGGGACCGTAACTAGGGTTAGTTGAGGTCATGAGGGTGGGGACCTTGTGATGGGATTAGTGCCCTTAGAAGACGAGACCAGACAGTTTGCTTTCTCTCTAGGCCATGTGAGGACACAAAAAGAAGGTAGCCATCTGCAAGCCAGGAAGAGGGCCCTTACCAAAACCCGACCGTGCTGGCACCCTGATCTCAGACTTCTAGCCTCCAGAACTGTGAGGAAGAAATGTCTGTTGTTTAAACCACTCACTGCATGGTATTTTGTTATGTCAACCCAAGCTGACTCAGGCATTGATCAAATGAGAAAAGCAGATGCAAAGTTGTATTACAGTCTTCCTATCATCTTGTAAGTAATGTGTGAATATTCATAGGAATAAAGGTTAGAAATATATTACAGTGCTAACCATAATTTTCAGTGGACGGTACCACATTTATTTTCTTTACACTTTTCCAAACTTTGCAAATTTTCTAGAGTAACGATGATACTTAAATTTCTTGAGTTCTTACCATGTGCCAGGCCCCATGCCACACATTTTACCTGCTTTATCTCATTTAAATCTTCACAAGAAGCCCACAAAGGAGGTGTTGTTATTTTACAGAGGAGGAAACTGAGGCTTAGAGAGATTAACTTAGAGTTTCTGGTTTAGAGAGGAAGCAGATAAGTGAAAACTGATCACAAACACCTAGAAATGCTGGATAAAATGTAATTCAATGTTTTTACTGCTTGGTTGAATGGTAAGACAGAAAGAAGTGTCCCTGTGCATCAGAAAGAAGAGCAGCCTGTGCAGAGGCTGATGCCACAGCTGAAGGGAGGATGTCCTTGAAAACGGCAAGGACTTTGGGTTGTGACACTCATGTGGACAGGAGACAAACCCTTGGGGAGGGGACCTTCAAAGGGCTACATCTCAGTAAAAAGCCCCGTGGTGAGGGTTGAGGAGAAGGGACTGAAGGACCCTAAGCCATCTAACTAGAAAGGACCCACCATCAAAGGAGGGAAACAAGAACCTGTGGGTGGGATAACAGAGTCTCCTGTGAGAAGCTAACAGCTGTGGTTGTACCTCTGACTTAGAGCAAATCTGAATGTACTCGGTGGGCACTGCCAAGCCAAGAGATCTGTATAAAATCCCAGGCTTGCGATCTTCCTGTGGCAAACGGCAGGTGCAAACACAAAACCAGTCTCTAGGGACACTCTGAATTCTTTTCACACAGAATTCTTTCACAAAACAGAACCAAACCAAACTGGAAGAGGTTTGAAACAACCCTGCTAGAGTCTGGCAGCAGAACAAAACAACATGTACAACCAGGAACCTGAGATAAGAGAATAACAACCTAAACCACATGAAATGTTTGATGAAGATCAAATAAATATAAGAGTAGGAATCAAAATAATAAGAACAAGATATTACAAAAAAGAAAAAGAGGGCTTCCCTGGTGGCGCAGTGGTTGAGAGTCCGCCTGCCGATGCAGGGGACACGGATTCGTGCCCCGGTCCAGGAAGATCCCACATGCCGCGGAGCGGCTGGGCCCGTGAGCCATGGCCGCTGAGCCTGCGCATCCGGAGCCTGTGCTCCGCAGCGGGAGAGGCCACAACAGTGAGAGACCCGCGTACCGCAAAAAAAATAAATAAAATAAAAATAAAAAGAACCAAAAGCAGCTTCTAGACATCAAAAACATTAGCATTGAAGTAAAGTGAACAAATGGTTAAAAAGCAGAGTGAAGCAGCTGAAGGAAGAATCAGTAAATTGGAGAAGTTCTGGGAAGAAATTACCCAGTATGAAGCACAGAGAGAAATGAACAAAATATGAGAGAGAAGCTGGACGTGGAGGACAGGTGAGAAGGTCCAACATGCATCCAATCAGAGGTAGGGACTGGAGAGAATGGAGTCAGTGTTCCAAGTGATAATGACCAAGAGTTCTCCAGAAATGATCCAAGACAGATCCTCATATGCAGGAAACCTCATCCCTGAAAAGATAAATAAAAATAAATCCACACCTGAACATACTATGGTGAAATGACAGATGAGAACAAAGAGATGAGCTTAAAATCAACCAAAGAGGCCAGATTTCCAAAAAAAGGAACAATAACCAGGCAGACTGAGGATTTCAACAGCAACATCAGGAATCAGAAAGAGGTCAGGAATCAGACCTCTTACCTAGAAGTATATACACAGCCAAACTATCATGAAGGAATGAGGGTAAAAGAAAGGTATTTCTGAGCAAAGCCCAAGTAAGTTTACTACTCCCAGGTCTACAAAAGGATGTTCAAAAAGATGGCAATTAAATTGAGAAGTAGGTGCAAGCAGCAGTGATGAGAAAAAAAATTGGTATAAATACATACATACATACATACATACATACATACCTAAGGAAACATTGCCGTAAAATAAAACAACACTAGTCATGACTAGTGTTGAGCTGGTTTAAAACACATTGGAGCTAAAATGCTACATGATGACAATATGTATGTTAAAATGAAAGTAATTAGAATCCCCTGGTTTGGGAGGAAGAAAACATTAATTTTCGACTTTGATCATGCATGACTGTTAAAAAATTAAGGAGAACAAATAAAGATTAGAATGAGATTCTATAGCTTCTAAACCAGTAGAAGAGAAAAGGGGAAAAGAAACTTTAATCAATCTAATAAAAGACAGGAAAACTAGAAAAAAGAAACAAAAAAATTTAAAAGGCAAGGAAAATAGAAGCACAAACTACATGCTACAAGTAAATCCAAGTATATTAGCAAGTCACAATCAATATAAACAGACTATACTGGCTGGATAGATTAAAACAAGGTCTAGCTACATACTGCTTATAAGAAACCTTATAAGGACGGAGAAATGCTGGAGTAGAGAGATGGAAATATACATACCAGGTGCAGCAGAGGCTTCCAGTTGCTTATCCAATAGCCATTCTTTCCTTCCATAATAACAGCACCCTGATATTACTGAAATACTATACCCAGCCAAAAACTGCATTCTTCAGTTTCCTTTGCAGTTGTGACTATGTTACTAATTTCTGGATCAATGAGCTATAAGCAGAATTTGGAAGGTGGTACTTGTGGGAAGACTCCTTAAAAGGTGGACAGAGAACTAAGAGAAGTCCCTGTGGTCTTCCCTTGCTGCTTCTTTCCTATTACATTAATTGTAGAACTGAGGGCTGGAGCTGCAGCAGCCTTCCTAGACTGTAAGGTGATTTTGAGGATGGTAGGTCTGCACTAAAGACAGGAGAAAGATACAAGGAGACTTGGTCTTTGGTGACCATGGAGTCATCTCATCAGCTCTGGACTGCCCATCTCTGGACTTCTACGCAATACAGAAATAAATCTTAAGCCCCTATAGTTGGGTCTCTGTTACGGCAGCCACACATGACTAAAATGAAAACGAAGCTAGTTGTACTTTCTGGTGAGTGATGTTGATAATGGGGGAGGCTATGTATGTGTAGGGGTAGGTGGTATATAGGAAATCTCTGTAACTTCCTCTCGATTTTATTGTAAACCTAAAACTGCTCTTAAAAAATAAAGTCCCTAAAAAATGAAGCTAGTAGTGTTTGTTACGATTAGGTTTGGTAATAAGTGACAGAAAACTCCATAACAGTGGCTTACACAGGTAGAAACTCACTTCTTTGTCACATAAACTAAGTCCATACATAAGCTATGAGTACACCACTCCTCAATCACCAGGGATCCAGGCTCTTTGTACCGTGTTGCTCTCATTCTCAATACACGGCTCCCACCTCGCCCAGGATGGCTGCTCTTGTTCCAGTCATCACATCTACACTCCAGGAAGGGACAAAAAAGTGGTCACATGATCTCTCTTTAAGGACATTTTTCAGATGTTGTAGATCCCACTTCTGCTTACATCGCATTGGCCAGAACTTCATTGTTATGCCAAACTTAGAGGGAATATAGTTTTTATTCTCAGTAGCCTTGTGACCAGCTAAAAGTCATGAATCCATTACTAAAGAATAAAGGAATAATGGAGATTGAGGGACATCTGGGAAACAAATTAATATCAGACGATATAAGCTTTAATTCAATAAGTATTTTAGGGATAAAGAAGGTCACCACATAATGAAAAAATTTAGACAAGGAAGATATTTACAATTATACAAGGAAAGTAAAAATTCTACAAGAAAGCTAAACCTGTAAATTATATGCATCAACAACACAGTCTGAACATACATAAACCATAGCCACAGTAATCAAGACAGTGTGATATTAGAGGGATAGACACATAGATTGACTGAAGACCTAGAAATAGACACACACAAATACCTGCAACTGATTTTTGACAAAGGTGTAAACTCAATTAAATGGAGGAAGCTTTTTCAACAAATGGAGCTGGAGCAATTGGACGTCCATAGGCAAAGAAATGAACCTTCACCTAAACCTCATAGCTTATACAACAGTGAACTCAAAATGGACCATGGACTTAAGTGTAAAACATAAAACTATATGACTTTTGGACAAAAAACACAGAAAACCTTCATGATCTCAGACTAGGCAATGTGTTCTTAGACTTAACATCAAAAGTCATAAAAGGAAGAATACAATAGACCTCATCAAAATTAAAAACGTTTGTTCCATAAAAGCTCATGTGAAGAGGATGAAAAGACAAGTTATAAAC